AAAACAAATTGTTGATATTTTAGCGAAAGTTTGAAACATCCTGTGAACTGGTTTAATAAAGTAAAGAATTTAAAAACCAGTTTGTCATCAAGTTGTATCTTTTCTAGATAGTTTGTTTTTTGATTCATCTCAACAGTTTTTTTTTGTTGGAGATATTCGCCTTTGAAGAAGATAATACTGATTATATTAATTTTTTATCATTAGCGATGTAGAAATTTTCCAAGCATTTACCACAACGCTATCTACGGTGTTCACAAGCAAAGTCCACCACTACTTTTTATCAGACACCCCTATTTTATAATTAGCTATACAGTTGTCATGAAGTTGTCACATGAAGTTGTCACACCCCCATGTGTTTACAACTTGATAACATTAGGCTGTTCGCTTGCTTTACCTTTTCACTCTGGATAACGGTTCGTCATTGTAATGGTTACTTATGACTGTGACAACTGAGGTGTCGTTCCATACTAATTAAATACCTTTTGTATTAATGATATACCATTGACAGTGTGGTGCGCCGGAATATAACCTTCTTTCGTGTTTTTATTATTACCGATTCTGAGCTGTCCTAGAATTTTACTGTGCATGCGCAGGTAAAAAATTGCTAGAGATTTCCCCCTATGCATGTTTATCACAGTTCTAGGACGGTTCAGAATCGGTAATAAAAAACCGAACTAAGCTATAATAGCCTTGTTGTTTTTATACACAACTTTGTTAGCTTCTAACGGATAACAAAAAGTTCTATTTTCTCTAATAGTTTCTGTAGAAAAATAACCTTCTTCGGAAAGATGGGAAAATAACTGGAACGAGGAAAAATAATTGTCAAAAAATACTTTCTAAATCATCTACTACATTATATAAAGCATTTTCTAGTTCTTTTTGCATAAGAAATTTAGCCACTATATTACAAGAAAATCATCCATTTAACAGATATAGACATATTTTGCCAAGGATGCGTTTTCGCAACGTTCATAATACAGGGTGGTCCGAACTGTATTCCGGAAACTTCGGCATCATATTCTGCAGATAATAATAAGTTTGTATAAATGTATGTCCTAAAATGCTTAGTTTCCTAGATACAGGGTGTTGAAGTTTCATTTTTATGTTACGTCAATATTTGGATGAAAATTGGTGCCTGGGAGTTTTTTGACCAGAGAAATTTGATTTTGATGTTAATATGACTACTTGTAGAGGGCGCCACCTACAAGTTTTTTAACTGATTTGAAAAGTAATAACTTTTCGTCTCTACCTGTATAAAACAACGGAGTAAAAAAACATACATTTACGACGTTTTTTACATAAAAAATCGCTACGAGTAATGGCTCTCGAGATATTTTGAATCGAAATTATCAGTACCTGTCATCATTGACATAAATTAAACATGTTGACTAAATAGTAATTAGACTGAAATCATAAATTTGAAATGTTTTGTGCCAAAAATTCGCCAGAAACTGTTTTATCATAATTTTTTGAAGAAAAAGTTACGATTAATATAAAAAAAATACAAATTTCCCAAATTTATCATTTGAAAGAAATAACTATCTACTCAACATGTTTATTTTTTGTCAAAAAAATAATGACATGCATTGACTATTTCCATTCTCAATATCTTGAGAATGGTTGTTCGTAGCCATTTTTAAAAAGAGACATTTTACGTAAAAAATCACGAAAATGTATATTTTTATACTCTGTAGTTTTATACAGGTACAGCAAAAAGTTATTACTCTTCAAAATAGTTAAAACACATCTCGGTGGCGCCCCCTACAAATAGGAGTCATATTGACATCAAAATCAAATTTCTCATGTCAAAAAACTCCCAGACACCAATTTTCAAACAAATATTGACGTTACTTCAGAAAATATTTGGAAAAAATCAAAACAAAAATGAAACTTCTACACCCTGTATCTCCGAAACTAAGCATTTTAGGATATATGTACATTTATACGAACTTTTTTACTTATTTTTGTCTGCAGAATAATATGCTGCCGAAGTTTCCGGAATATAATTCGGACCACCCTGTATACACTAAAACAACGCGATGTAGTGATATAAATGCCGCCTAAAACATACATAAAAAGTAGGCAGTAATACAGTGTGGCGCACCTCATTCGCCTTGGTTGATTAAACGAAAACGGAAAGATGTAGAAACAAAATATTTTAAGGGTATAGGTAGGAAGGCAATGTGCATAATTTAAAATTATTTTGAAATGTACAGGGTGTGTCAGAACTAAGATCCATACCAAAGTTATAATAAAATGACACCTTTTTTGCAAAGGAAAAACTAAATTTGACCGTAGTCCTCGTCTGCTGATTTCTTTGAAGAACCCTTTACAATCGACATATTCCATAATTTCTTCAATTTACCAATAAAGTTACAATACTAGACACAAATGTCAAATAATACAAAATAATTTGGAATATGGTTACAGTTCTCCGAAAGTAAACTTAAAAAACACTAAATTCAACTCAGCGGCAGTTGCAGTTCCTCTCATTATTCCAATACTCTCCAATACTGATTTATATCGCTGCATCGTTGTGTTCGTTATCTGACGACAGTGTGGTTGTTTGGCTGTCAGCAAGGATAGGGGTCGATATTCAGTAGTATATATGAAATGAACAAAATTCTTACAGCTTTAGTGTATATTAATAAATAATATTTTCTTGCCTTTAGCTGTGTATTTTTTCTAATTTCGAAAAATCGAAAGTAGAGAAAAAAATATAAAAGTAAAAAGAAAATTCTTTTGCTTGTCGTAAAGGGGGGAACCATGCTCCACTCCCACAACCGGTTTCTGGGCCTACCCTTCATCAGGTGGTCTGTCCGAAAAACGCTCTTTACCATCTTTTTATGGGAGATGCACTAATATCTCACCGACACTTTACGACATCGTCTGTTGATATTGAAAAAGTTTTGCTTGCCGTATCGGTGAGAACCAGCCTCTGGACAGCCCACCTGATGAAGGGTAGGCCCAGAAACCGGTTGTGGGAGTGGAGCTTGGTTCCCCTCACGGGGGTGTCACTTGTCTGGGAAAACAGGCAACAGTCAAATTTAAACGTGCCAGGACCAACGACAAAGAAAGCAACATCTGCCAGGCATTGGCTTTCTTTGTCACTCACATTGCTTAAATCATGATACCGCGGCCATTTTGTCAACAAAGAAGCTGGCCGGGCTGTCCTGGCAAGTGATTTAAAACAATTTTCTTTTTACAATATTAAATTACCATTTGGATGTATTTAATGCGATTATTCAGTTAACTGGTAAGTCAGAAATTACACACAAATACTTTATTCATAAATACAACTAAGATGTAAACGTATTTTTGTATTTTTAGATTTCAACTTTTGCAAAGACCCGCCTATAGAACTTGCCTGGCAGCGTACCTGTTTAACTAAACGTATTATTTCCTGGTAATAATATCAAAACACGTAAGTACCTCTATAATTTATGATGAAAAATGATTTTGATTATGTTTTATATTATTTAAATACTTTCTAACCTCAAATAATAGTAAGATTCTTGTTTATATCGCACAGCCCGTTCAAAACTGTATTGTCTTCAAAAAATGTTTACAAAACAAACAATTATTACAAAAACAATGTCCTTTTAATCTGATTTATACCTCAGAAGGATGCCAGTTAAATTTTTATTAAATCAACATTACATTATTTGGCCATTAATATGCAAAAAGGAGCATATTGCGTTAACTTAAATTTTCTTTTACTTCTCCTGACAATGTTCTCTATATTCTCTATTTTGAGTTAGTAAACTTTTGAACGGGATGTGCGATATATAAAATACATAATATATCCAAGGGCATGATCTGATAAAAGTATTTTTTGATGCATTTTTTGGTTGTTTATGCACATTGGCTTGGTTTATGTTTTATTCAGCTTATATTTATTTGGTATAACAGTTTTTTTTGCCTTTGGAATGGCATGCATTGAGGCTAGATAGTGTTTCATTAGACCATTAAAGAAATTTAAATTAGCATATATTTTTTGTGATGTTAGTGTGTTATCATGATACAGGTAGTTGTATCATAGTGCCTTATGCATGTTATTTACCTATTATATACTTATGTATTATCAGTAAATAGATGATAATATACTACTAAAATGTCTTTTTAATAGTATGTTTATCTGTCCAATTCACTAGTTATTTGCAAAATGTATTTTGAACTAATTTAAGTCATTAATTGATCATCTTTCTTTTTCAGGTTCCGGGATATTCTTTTTCATTGTTAAAAAAATATATATATTTCAATATTATTGTAATATAAATCGCAGCTCTAAAAAATAAATGATATTGTTTAGTAATGTGTAATTTATTTACTATGAATTTTCTCTGAAAATAATAAGCCTTTAATAATATCATTGATTTGCTGTGTAAAGTTAATAGACATATTTTTTAATACATTAAATTATAGTAAAGTAATAAAAAATATGTTTATTAACTTTAAACAGTAATTCAGTGATACTTATAAAAATATTTTTTTCAAAATTTCCCCTCTTTTAAGCCCCGCCCCTCAAATTCTCCTGAATTTAGCTAGTACTGCCAGGCGACACCAGGTGACGTCTGTTTCCATTTTTTAACATGAAGTTAGCATTTCTTTAATGTCCCTATTCTCTGGTTCCCCCTTTACGACAAGCAAAACAATTTTCTTTTTACTTTTTATATTTTTTTCTCTACTTTCGATTTTTCGAAATTAGAAAAAATACACAGCTAAAGGCAAGAAAATATTATTTATTAATATTCAGTAGTATCTACATTTATCAGGACCGGCACCGGAGAGATGTCCGTGTATTTGTATCTTTACCTCTTCTTTACAAATAACTCCTTAGACTTACCTCTTCTCTACAAATAACTTAAAAAATCATCAGAATCGGTCCACTTGAAAAAAATATATTAAAAAATACGTGAAAATTTTAGATATCCATTTCCGTGGTGGTCAGTGCATATTTTTTTCTCATTAAATATTGAATATTTTCATGATTTTGATAGGTGGCCTGCAGTGTGCATTCATGGTGATAAAACACAACCAGAAAGAGATTGGGTTTTACAAGGTAAGTAGTACAAAAAATATAAAATATTTCTATTTTACAAAAATTTTTTTTAGATTTCAGGAGTGGTAAGGCACCAATTCTTGTAGCAACAGACGTTGCAGCTCGTGGTTTGGGTAAGTGTGGAAAGAGAATGCACGTTGTTTTTATTTAGAGATTTTTTGTTGTTTTATTTGATCAAATAAGATTGTCAGTGGTATTATTATAGACAGGCTAATTTTTATATGCTCAATTTGAAGAAAAATAGAACACTTAAAATAATGCTACTTATTAGCCTGCTCTCTTGATGAGACCTTATTTTTAATGCAAAATAACTAAATCCAAAAAAGAAAAATTTTCTTTAGTTTTGATAAATTTAGAAATTCTTAAAGTTGGCATTTTTGACAATGCATTTTTTGCAATAGACGATCTAGTGTCATTTTTCTTTTTACTGTTTGAATACTATTACTGTATGAGTAAATAAATTTGTAATTGAGTCAGCTATAGAACCAAATTATTTTTGAAGTACTGAAATGTTTTTTTTCTGTGCTTTATTTTATTGGTTGTATGAATAAATTTAGTAATTTGTATTTTTTATTGGGATTCTTAAACTGTAATTTTCTAGGAATAGCCGCCAAAACAAACCCCAAAAATAAAAATCAAAATATACATATATCTTTAATTAATTTCAGTTAAGAACGCTTCTGCTTTGACTTTTATAACATATTTTTTGTAAAAAAAGTAATTGAAGGGTACGAGGGAAAAGAGATCAAATTCACTAAAAGTAGTGTTTACACAGAATATCGAAAATATGTAACTTTATTTTCGTTATTAATTATCCGACATAATTATCCCAATACAATAGGAATATGAAAAAATTCTTAATAGAATATTTACAGCTATAATTAACGTTATTATCAACTATTGTGGTTGCCCATTTAAAATAAATACCTGTAAGAGTTTTTGTCATTATATTTTAAGCAAAAACGTGGCACCACTCCATGCTTACACATGCAAAAAGGATGAGTCCATGATTATGATCGCTTTTCACAACAGTATTTAGAAACACTATACAAAAGACGCGACAATATGGACTCTAATCGTTTCTTTTGCGGAGCGCTTATAATATTTTGGACCTTGATAATTAACCTAATTTAAATGTAGTAACTGTGATCATTTTTACACAAAACCAAAATTTGGGCTGAGAAGTATAAAATGACGCTTTTAACCAAATTTTGTCAAAATTGGACTCGATTCTTTTCCTCTGTACCCTTCAACTGTGTTTGACGAATTATGTTTAGCTATATTAGGAAAGTTACCGAAGAGGAACTATAGGTATTTTTTTATTTAACGTGTTATGTTTCACTGGTGATATTCCATGAAATTTGCAGTGACCATATACCGTATAGTAAAAAAAAACGCCGTCAATTTGGCTTAAAAATGACGATCGAAGACATTCTAAAATTTTTGGATATAAAATGGCAGCGATCTTCATTTCAACTCTGTCGCCGTTTTTTTTTTCAGTTCTATGATACATATGGTTAATAATAATAACCTACTAATTTATAATTAATCTCAAATGAAAATACGGTTTTAAGGTTAACTAAATTACAAATTCATGTAATCATACCGTATTTTTTTAAATTTTCGATTATTCTGGATTCACAATATCGTTTGATAGAATGAAAAGAACATCACAATATGGTTAGAATTATTATTTCAGTTCAAAATTTTGCTGTATCTGTCAATCTCTGAAGTTCTTTAAAGTGTCAGCTTGCTTCTTCAATCATATCTTGATTTTTTTTTTAATCTTTATTGTATATAAAATATTTGGCATATTTTTTATATAGTAATTTTAATCTTTAAAGTTTTATTGTTTATAGTGTATCTAATTTTTGCTGTCCATGCCAAATATCTCTGTTATTCTTGGATATAAAACATTGCTAGTTTTGCTAAAGTTGACTACACTACTGGTTTCAAAATGTCAAAAACTATTTAAGAATCTTTTTTATTTTAACTATTTAATAAGTATATACCCCATTATTTTCATTCATTTTCGCCCTTTACCTTGTAAACGAAGCACAGTATGACTATTTTGTATATCAAGGGCAATGAAAATGGGACACACTGTACCACGTTGTATCGCTTGCGACTCCTGAAACTACCAATGAGAACTGCGGAAACCCTTATTGGTTCCCTAAGGCTGGACGCACACAGAAAGAGTAAAACTGTTTTAGACAAAAAGGATTTTGCCTGAGACAATAAAAAATTATATTTTGAAGCAAAATATTTTATTTTATGCACGGCGTAAAACGACGATACGTCGATCAGTCTGACTGTGACTAAATGAGCCTAAACCTGTCTTAAACCTCGCGATTGAAATTTGCGTTCAGCCATTTAATTTGCTTTGAGGCATTACATAAAAACAATCTTAGTCAAAAACGTTGTTATCCCGGACAAAATCGTTTTTATCTTTTATAAAAATATTGTGTTTTGTTTTAAAGAGTAGCAAAATGTTTTATTTACAATCAAATCTGCACGGCATAAAATGACGATCAATCGATTAACGTCAATTGTTGTGAGTGTAACGTCAAGACTGGCTAAATGACCCTAAACCTGTCTTAAATCTCGGGACAGATCAGTGTGAGACGTATTTGACTAAAACTGTTTTGCTCTTTTTGTGTGCGTCCTGCCTTACAATGTATCGCTTAGGACGTCACTTGGCGCTTTCACTGTCAAGAACTTCAGTGAAGTATATACCGGGTGCATCTCTGAAGTGGCTCACCCCTGTAACTTTTTTTTGTTTTCAGATAAAAAAACGAGATTTGGTATGTTAGTACATATATGACATAAATGAGGATTTATTGACGTATTCAATTATTTGAAACTGTAACATGCGATTCGTAACGACAATTTGACTCGAAATATCAAGTATGTGGTACCTAATTATTCGTAAAAATGCTTTTTTCAAATATGCTATTGAGCCACCTTTGTTCCATTGGAAAAAATTGCGATATGATTAAAAAACGATTTTTTAACCGGCCAGGAAAAGACACAAAAATCATTAGATGATCAAATCTATTTTTCCAAGGCTCCTTAATTAAAAATTAGTGCTTTTAACACAGCCATGGCACTTTAGATTGAAATTTAAAATACGATTTTTTTATAAGCAAAAATGTCAAAAGTTGACATATGATATATGTCATTCTATTCAGTGTCATTTTTTATTGAATAAAGTAAAATATACAGAGGGTGCCATTTAAAAATCAAAAGTTGTAGTCATTTCCGGTGAAACAGGAAGTGGCCAAAAAATTGAATACGTCAATCAATCCTAATTTATGTCATATACTAACAAGCCAAATTTTATCTGAAAAAAAAAGTTATAGGGGTCAGCCACTTTTGAAACGCACCGGGTATATAGTAATACTTAAACTGATATGTTATTCTGACGCTTATTTTGAGGTAGTTTTTATTCAATCACACGGTACGTAAACTTGTGAAAATAAGGTTCCATCTGAATCAATGCTGGATTGCGCTGGTAGCCAAACCATTTAGCGAAATCAATCCCGAAGCGCCCCAGCCCAGCAGCAGCGCAACTAAACCTAGCCCAATGTCGTCTTTTTTCAGAGGCACGCACAATGTACACGTGTGTTGTGTTGCAAATGGCCAACCACACGTTCCGCATGTGTGCCTCTCTCTGACTGACGACGTTACACGCTCTGACTGAGCGAATCTCGAAGGGCCGCCAACCGCTGTCGGCCTGCCTTCTCTCTGATAGAGCTGGCAACCAAGCCTGTGTCCGCCGCCGCAGCCAACGTGCGTCTCTGGCCGTACGCGGTACCGGTCCGTGTGCGTGAATGGGGCCTAATGAGACTGACGTAGGTGGGAGCGGGCGGTGCAGAGACAGGACTACAGAGAAGCTGACGGCGGCCGGTTGGCCAGCGACCTCTGCCGGCCGGCAACGCTGCCTGCTAGGCCACTGCGATCGTTGTAGAACAATGACAAACACCCATAGGTAGGATATTATTATGTGTTTTGAACATTTATTTTTATTTTTAATTATTTTTTTCGTAATTTGGTCTGGTCGTTTAATTTATTTTTTTGTTTTTTTTTAGTTTTAATATTAATTTAGCTGTAAAAGCTGGTCTAAATTGACGGAAGAAAAACTCAAAACAATATTTGATATTCTTTACTATTATTAAAGAGAGACTATCAACTAGAAAATATAAACATTCAGTTTAGAATAGAAATGTCTGTCTGTTTAGTAAGGCCGGTCATAGACATATAATTGCAGGTGCATATTATACATTATTTAGTAATATAAAATGAAATGTGTAATGAGTTTATTGTTAGATGCTTGCTTATAAATTACATTAAGAAATATAAAAAAACTAATAAATAAAAAAAAGCAAATTTTGTACTACAATAAATTGTTTGTGGCATATACAGTTTCTCAGCTTTTAACTAACAGCTAAACTTGGTGTTTCTTTAATATCTGAGATATACAATAGGTAGTTGAAATTTATAGTCAAGTTTGTTTTGAGAGTTTCTTCAATTTATATTTTATTTTATTTAAGTTTATTTATTTTAAAATATCATTTTTTTAAAACGAGGTGGTGAGGAGGTGATAGCAAAACAATGACATGATTTATTAAAATATAATTTTTGTGCTGTGGCCGACTGTAAAAATTAAAAAGCTTGGGTTCCTTTATTATTCTACAATATATTTTTTTACTATTTATTAGCGTAATTTTGCTTATTATTTATAGGTGAATAATTGATAAAACTTACATACAAATATAGGTATTTATAAGTATTTTTATGTAAGATTATATGGTTTCTTGATATTAAATTTTAATTATAAGTTTGTAGGATCGTAAGTATAAATATTTTTTAAAGGTGATACAATAGTTTTTGTATAAGGTTATCTGTGATATTTATTATACATTGTTGCTTACAGGTTGTTTAGATACTTTATAGATTGTGGGTATCCCATATCATAAATTAAGATATTGTCTATTCGCGAAGGATGTGTTTCTGTCACAGATCTCGGTTTAACATAGCTAGATCTGTGTTTTATGGATTTGAGATGTATCGTAGCTATTCCAGGCTACAAATCAACTATAAGATTTCATAGCTGTTTTAAATAAAACATAATATTTTGTTTACTTCAACTTGATCTCATAATATGCTATAAAATTTGTTTTACGTATTGAATCGAAAATTTAGTGGTAATTGTAGTATAAGAAATACATTATAACGTTTTATTCTATTTGTGAAGCAGTGGCGACTTGTACCCATCTGGTAAATCTAAGATACACAATCTATAATTGTTATTTATGTTCTCCTTACAGTGTGTTTTTTTTAGTTAATAAAAAATGCATAACCGAAAACATTCACCAGTCGTCACCGCTCAAAAGCGATAGTTGATTTGTCACTGTCAAATTAGAATAATTTTAATAGCGTCATCTCAAAACTATTTTACAGATGTGGAAGACGTGAAGTTCGTTATCAATTTCGATTATCCCTGCAATTCGGAAGATTACGTTCACCGCATTGGTCGTACTGGTCGATCACAGAAAACGGGAACAGCATACACGTTCTTCACACCGCAAAATTCCAACAAAGCGGGTGATTTGGTTTCTGTACTAAGAGAAGCTAAGCAAGTGATCAACCCTAAGCTGCAGGATATGGCCGATCACGGTAGATCGGGAGGTGGTGGTTTAAGTAAGTGTGAGCAACTGTGAAATACTAATTATTTTATTAACTTATGAGTTCTCAGAGAATTTAAAAAAAATCTTAAAATTTAATTGTTCAAAAAAATCTTAAAAGGTAAAATATTTTTATCAAATCTTACATGACAATGTAAAACTAATCTAACGTTAATTGGAAAGCTCATAACAAAAGAAATATATACAGTGTATTCCGTAAAAAAGACATAAGTTTGGGTTATATTTCAAAAATGACAGCTCCCAGCGAAAATCTAGTTACGCCACTGTGTTCTACATGAAAAACTCTGAGACTCTGAGAAGTTTTCGCCTTTTCGATAAAGTATAAGATAATTGAGATACGAAGGGGGTCGAAAAGTGCAACAATTTTAATTTTTCCCTGTAACGCAGAAACCAAGGGGGCGAGGACAGATCTGTGTGTAGCATCTTTAATTTTATAAAAAAGTACGAGAGCAATGTGAAAATCGCATCGTTGTAGCTCTACTCATAAAAAACGCACGAAAATGAGACACCCTGTTCACCTCGACGCAGCAAACACGGCCAGGATATGTTTTCCGCAGCTAGTTTTGTTGCGCACTACACACAAACTCGATCATAATCTTTGACATCATTAGGCTTGGCGCGTTTTTGGGGCTATTTGACACGCTTTTCGCACGCACGTAACTTTAAACAATTTTTACCAAGTTATTTATTTCTAAGGTGTAATATTTGGAAAATAGTGTTTTTATACATATCTGAAGGATATTATTGAAACAAAAAAAAACTGGAAAGTTCAATATTTCATATAATGTTGTGGAGGAACTTCTCTTTATTTTGATTGTATTTACTTTACTTTGTTTGACAGGTAGATGGCGTAAACTTGGAAGCGGTGGAGGAGGAGGTCGGCTAGGTCGCGGTGGACCTCGATCCCCATCCAGATCTCCCGTTCGTAGAGGTCGGAGAGATAGAGATCGTAGCCGTAGCAAAAGCCGTAGCAAGAGTAGAAGCAGGAGCAGGTCCAGAGATAGGAGACGCAGGAGATCCTATTCTTATTCCAGCAGCTCTAGCAGCAGGTGAATATAGTTTCATATGAACAGGGATGCTTGCACATTATTTGTTGTAAATGGTATTTACCCTCGGTATTTTTTTACTTTATTCAATAGAAAATGACACTCCGACTAGAATGACATATCATATGTCAACTTTTGACATTTTCGCATATGGTTTATTTGAAATTGTAACATGCGGTTCATAACGACAATTTGACTCGAAATACCAAGTGTGTGGTATCAAATTATTCGTATAAAATACTTAATATGCTAAATATGTTCTAAATATGCTAATGAGCCACCTTCAGGCCATTTAAAAAAATGGGGCTATTATTAAAAATGCAATTTGGGCATCTTTTAACCGACCAGGACAAGACACTAAAATATTAGACGATCAAATATATTTTTCCAAAAGGCTCCTTGAATAAAAATTAGTATTTTTAACACAGTCATGTGTTGAATATGTCAAAAGTTGACATATGAAATGTCATTCGATTCGACGCACCCGGTATATGTATTGTGTCTAAAATTGAAGTGAAAAATCGGTAACAAAGTTACGAATTTTATTTGATGCTTGTCAAAAAGTAAAGTAAAAAAAGTAACCGTGACAATATTACCATGTATATTCGTCAAATATTTTGATACAGGTCAACTTTTATTGATTTTCCTATATCCATTTCAGTCGGTCTAGATCAAGAAGTCCTCTACCACCAAGAAGCAGCACACAAACTAAACCTCCGTCACCTCCACCAAAACACGTTCCACAGCCTGCTCAGAATTCGTCTGCGCCGCCTCCACAGCCACTGCCCAAACCGGTTATGGCGCAGCCGCCTCAGAATAACATGGCACCGCCCCCCACTCAGATGCCGCCGGCGCCGGCTCACTTGAATCAGCCGCCTGTTCAAAATCACGTGCAAAATTCCATGGTAAATCATATCCAGCCTCATTTGATCCCAGGACAACCGCCTGCGCAATTACAGATGCAACAGCATGTAAGTATATAATTTGATAAAGATTTTGACAGGCGATACCTGTAAATTAAAATGGCAATTATTTCAGTTTAATAATTCAGTTCAATACTCAGGAATAATAATACATTTATTAGTTGTAAGCATTGAAAAAAAATATGCGTCGTCCGTCGTTGATTTTATGCAATTTTATTGGTTTATTTGACGTTTGACAATTCAAACATAAATATGATTGTGGCAGAACGATGAATTAGGAATGCATATAAACACTTATTTAATAATAATAATTACTAACTAATGTTCATGTATCCGCCATCCGTTGATACGATCATCCGACAGCGCTCTGGTCATAATCTTTTCGCGCAACTTTTCATCCGAAAGTTTTTAACTTCTGCCCGTCAACGGAAAAAGTTAAAATAAATTTGACTTTTTATCCCCCAACACCCTATATGTTAGCTTTGTTCGGGTTTTTTCTTGAACCGTCCTAGAACGGTGATACGCATGCGTAGAAGAAAATTTACGTTCGGGTTCGATGAGAACTGTTTTTGGACCTTTTTTGGATTCTCAATTAGATCAAGTTAAATGTTCGGGTTATAACGCGGACGGTTCTAGAACTAGAAAAAACAGTTCAAATTTGATCCTAGCTGGGCAGCAAAAATCGTTTTTAGACCATTTTTGTACTTTTCTTTCTAACCTAAAAAGTTTTATGTTTTACGTTTTTTTTACCATCCAGGATATTTATTGCAAGAAAATACATCAAATTGACTTTCAAGATGATATTTTTCATGAGGATATTGAATTATTGTAATAAGTTTTACAGATGTTAATAGAGTACTTTCGGAATATTTAAATATCATAATATATCTGCAGGTAGGGGGGTATTGTTTTTTTAAACGATTAATAACTCATAAATAATTATTAATTTTTAGCAAGAAAAGTGTATTTTTTCATTAAATACTCAGCACTGCCATAATTCTGAATTGATACCTGTAGCTAATAATCTTATACTTCTAACATATAGTACCTACCTAATATGTATCTAATTAAGAAGACAATTTGAACATGGTGAATGAATAATTCTGCTTTATTTTGTAAGTAAATATTGTTACTATTTTGATATTTAAAATATTACTTTATTTAGTTATAGTTAACATGGCAGTAGTATGTGAAATATATAACATTTGTCCTTATATAACAAGATAAAATAAATAAATTATACATATTTATTCATTATTTTAGGAGATGGACAATACATACATATTATAACAAGAACCTATGACTAGTAGGACTTTGATTGAAACTGAAAAAAAATATGTACCTCATCTACAAATTAGTATTGTAATAATACTTATTGTTCAATTGAAAAATGTGCCTGAACTACCCTTATGAAACCAGCTTAACCAAGAAGAGCTAAATTATTTTATTATTATAAGTAATATTTCTGAAAATGATCTTGTAGAGAGGGATAAATTACAAATTTAGTATAGTAATATATGTAGTATGTATATATTTATTATTTATTTCATATTTATCATTCTACCCTAACCTAACACAAATTAATTTTTTTTTAACATAAAATTTTATTAAAGTGTTTCAGTTATAACAATTAGAAATTAAAGCTCTATGGAAGTCAATTTAACTTATTTTTAAGATTCTTGGGGGTTAGAAATGTAACAAAATAAAAATAGTTAACGTAAAAAAATTGATAATTTTTATTAACTAAATTAATAAACAGTTATGACCATAATGAATTTTTTGTAGTTGTATAGCATATCATTTAAATATTTTTCTATTACTAGAATGTCTTCAATATTAGGCTTCTTATGTTAATTATAGAATAATGAGGCAAAATTCATCTGTTCTAAATTAATCCTGTAAAACTTTGTTCATAATTTTGGTTTCTATTTTCTGTTCAAGGCTGTAGTGCAAAACTATATATTATATTAAACATTTATCATTTTCCACTGATTCCACAATTAGTATTTGATTAATGCAAACCATTTGTTTTTATTATTCCCAGTTATTCTTTAAATATCCTTCGGCAATTATTGGCATATCTAAAAAGAAAGCATGGTTAGCCTACCTAATATGTCTCTCCTTTGTAGGGCTTTATTTTGAAATAGCTATGTACTTAAATTTATTATACATAATCAAATAAATTATTTAGATATAAAATATATAAATTAAAACTTTTTTTTAATATTGCATTATTTAGCTACTTATACTAATTACGTATCCTATGTATGTGTGTTGTTATATTTTACATAAATATGTATAAATTTAAATATATAAAGGCAGATAATTTTTTGGCAATCAATTTTGATTATAATATTGTGGTCATTAGAAAATAGAGAGTTAGCTATATAATTAGAAAGAAGCAAACCACTTATATCAAGGATAAATGGCAGTTTTTTATGTATGTACCTGATATATTTCGAGAACATTCCAATGTACTATTCTTAGGTATAAATTATTAAAATTCTGTTCATTTTTAGTTCATATTTAGTCAGATATCACAATCTATAAAATCCCAATTATATATTGTACATATCCTGTTACAGTTGTAATTTTAACTTACCTACTTTCAAATGTCACAAATGCTGTCCTAACACTATCTTAAATGCTTTCTCAAATCATTATTTCTGTGAAAATAAATAGTATAATCCTCCAGGAATTGAACATTAACTAAATTTTGATCATATTATAACGAAATAAAGCTAGAGTATATTTGAATTTCTTGAAATTACCCTGAAAAGGAAATAATTTCTGGCGGTCAATGCAATAGAAATTCACTACTAAATCTTATTTTTTTAACTGCTCTGTAATCTTCCATTTGGGTGCTCAAGTGTTGTTTTTTGTAATAAACAAACAAATTTTAAGGACATCTCTCATATTTCAATAGTGAGGTTAAGTCGCTTCTGTCACTTTCACTTTCGTCCAAAAATAGTTCGAAAAGCGTTCGGGTTTCATCATGTAGTTCATAGTCCTTAAAAGGTCCAAAAACAGTTCTAGAATTCAAACCACTGCGCAAGTAGTTACTGCGCAGTGGGAGAACGATTCTAGGACGGTTCTCAAAAACGAACCCGAATAAAGCTATTAATTGATTTTCGGATCCTAGAAAACAAAATAAAGGTGAGTTTCGTTAAAGAAGCATATGCCTAAAATGTAAGGATTTTGACATATTTTACATTTTGTAAAAATGAAGAATAAATTTTAAATTTCAATAAGAGCACCCAAATTGTAATTTACTCTGTATAGCCATTATTTTAATTTGGTTTAACATACAATGATTATTGTAATTACATATCATTTAATTACAATAATCATTGTATGTTAAACCAAATTAAAATTTGGCCCGAAAAGTTATACAGGCTGAGAGGGAGTTACTCACAAAAAAGTCCACCAACTATTTTCGGCAAATTTCCGAGAATTTTTTTCGTTTTAACTGACACGAAATGATAACTAGTTGTTAAAGTTGAACTAATATGACAGCTATGTTGAAGGAACGTCAGACATATCGTAAAGAAGTTATATTTTTTATTATTGATTCGTTTATATAACCGTTATTGAACTTTTAACGATCAGGTCTCCGTGCTCCGTGGGGCAATGTTTCAGGATTCAAGCTACGAAGCGAGAGACCTGAGATCAAATCCCGGCCGGGGCAATTTTTTTTTATTTTTATTATTTAAAATACTGTTGATAAATGTTGTTGTAATTGATAAATGTTGATACTGTGTTGATGTAAACTTATGGTTTATTGCTAGTATTAAAATGGAACTATTTATTCTATTTTTAAACTCCTATATTAATGTAAATTGATTGTTTATGGGATATACTGTATGTAAGTAAGATTGGAATTATTAATTAGTCTAAGCTGATTTCTTAATTGTTATTAATTAGTAAAATATCCCATGGCCGAATAATTCATTTATTTGTTAGAAATAATATTAAATATTTATTCATTTTTACCGTAAAGGAATTTGCAATGATTATTTATTTAGCGAATAGATTTTGTATAAACAAATGGGTAATTTAAAAAAAAAACTATTGCCACATTTTTAGCAGAGAAGCCTGGCTGGTGCTTGTCCGATTTTAACTCAGCTCTCTTTCGGGATTCCCGAAAGCCCTTTTTCAGTAGTACTTAAGGCGAGACGAACGCCACAATTAGATATACTACCATACACCATTCAACCAATAGTATCTCCTGATAACCGCAGCTACCTACCGTCCTCCATACCGTCTTATCTTACTTATTTACTTACTTACTGCCATTACTCGCTGACGAGTATTTGACACGCATCAGAAGATGGTTACGCAAGGCGTTTGAACTTTTATCTACCTACCCGAACTTTTATCTACCTAAACCGTCTTATCTACTGTCCTACCTACCGTCCTTACCGTCCTACCTACAGTTTCCATCTACTGTCTTCTTAAATACCGGCCACACTTCTCTCAGATTCGTTTTCATTGATAAATTAAAAAGTTAAAGTATTACCTATTAAAAAGTTTTATCAATCCCCAAATTTAATTAATTAAATTATTACATAATAAAGATTTACTGACACTAAATCATAAAAATGAAAATATCTAGGAAAATCTTTATTTGAGGGGTAGCCAACCTTAATATTATTTTGGAGAGACACGAATGCCCTATTGAATATCAGAATAATATACTGGGTATTCCATTTAAAATAAAAGAGTAAGTTGCTTTTAAAGGTGACTAATGTTCAATATTAATTATCTCACCCTGTATAACTTTTTGGGTCACGTTTTAAATTGATTAATACCGGGTAAATGACAATTTAGATAGCTTTTATTGAAATTTAAAAATTGTTCTTCATTTTTAGAAAATGCTAAATTTAGTCAAAAAACTTACATTTTAGTCATATACTTCTCTAATGAAACTCACCTTTATTGTTCTCCTAAAATCCGAAAATCAATTGAATCAAATATATAGGGTGTTCCATTGCAAAAAACACAACTTTGATATGTACCTTTTTGGGGGACACCCTGTTGAACTCTATATTTAAAAAAATTCTCTAAATTAACCTTCATATATAAAAAGGAGTCAAAGACTGCTGGGGAATGACAATCGATTATAATTTTGACGAGGTTAAGCCCTAGTTGTCATTTACTTGGCCCATACTGTTCTTTATTTCTTAATGGCGTTTACTGCCAGTTGGCCTTAAGAAGGTTGAAATTTATTTTTATATTGAGTAAAAATGATTGATAATTTAAATTAGAGAGAAAATAATTTTTGGAAACATATTCATCAAAATTATCATCGATTGTCATTCCCCAGTTTACCCCGTTTTTTTTCGCTCGTACGGTATTAATAACAAACTTATTTTCCAAATTTATACCAGTTTGGTAGACCATGATATGGAAGAATATTTATTTATTTTTATTTTTTCATTGCGATTTTATTTAGATGCAAAATCAACAAATGCAACAGGCCCAGATGTTGCAGCAACAGCAAATGATGCAAAATTTGCAACAGCATTTACAGCAACAGATGCAAGGCCAACATAAACAGGTAAAGAGATGGTCTCCGTCTTTACTATAACATTTTATTTTTAGATTAAGCCTTCTTTACAAGTGTTACGTTACATTACCTGTATATTGTTGTATTTAAATTAATTATGAATTTTTGGGTTTCTTTACTGCCATTTAAATCAGTAAATAATCTCTTTAATCAACAAAAAGAATTAATTTAGACCGGCGTTTTAATATGTTTGTTATTAATATGTTATGTTTCTTGAAACTTGTTGATTTAAAAATTGATTTGTTTTTATCATGTTGCTTAAACTATTTGGTTTATTTCTTGAAAAGGAATTCGTTGTTTTCCCCAATGAAAGAAAATCTACAAAATATCAAAATTATTTGTTTAAAGGCCACTGCATTGAATCTAAACTGAAACCAGTTTGTCAGTGTTTTTTTACTAGCAAAACAAATATGCGTTACCGACAAATTTTTCTTTAACGTTTTATGAGGTATAGGGTCTGCATTATTGCATCGGGTATCTTAACTCCTATAATAAAAAAAAACTTGGGAATTTTGTATAAGTGCAAACCTAAAATATGTCCTAGGATTGTTTCAAGAAAATATTTCTTCTACAGGGTGGCCCAAATAAGTGTGAGTAGATCGGGATGATTTTTTTTAAATGGAACACCCTGTATATTATTGCATTTTTGGCTTTCTGATTACTTTACATAATCCTAAGATATTATTAAATATACTTATAGTTTCAAAAATATTAATAAATGAATATTAAATATTTTTTTCAGCCTTTTTTAAACAAAAAGCTATACTAGGTATTGATCTGTACTTACTTTGCCATAAATATCGTAGTCTTAAACTGTACAGGGTGCTCAAAATTCTATGCCGAACTTTATAAAATAATAAATATAACATTTTTTTCTTCGTTTTTTTTTAATGGAACACCCTGTATATTATTTCTTTGTTAGATGAAGTATTAAAAAATAACATTTTTTGTATTTAAAGTATTTTAAAATTTTTAGCGGTTTTGCAAATATTCGCGTTTATATTACATATGGCCTTTCAACGATAAAATACCAGACAAAAATCATTAGGTGGGTTGATAAAAAAATATTGTTATAACCGTTAAAAATATTAAAACACTTTAAATACAAAAAATGTTCATTTTTTAATTGTCCATCTAACAAAGGCATTCAGGTGTTTCATTAAAAAAAAAGAAGAAAAATCTATTTTATATTTTAGAAAGTTTGGCATAGAATTTTTGAACACCCTGTATCATTTAAGTTTACGATATTTATAGGAAAGTAAGTACGACCAACTATAAATACCTAGTCTAGTTTTGGTTTCATTTTGGACATTTCTTGTATTTTAAAAAAAATTAAAAGGCTGAATTTTTTTTTAATTTAATTATTAATATCTCTGAAACTGTCAAAACATATTTAGTAATATTTTATGATTATGTAAAGTGATCAAAAAGGAAGCCAAAAATACAATAATATACAGGATGTTACATTAAAAAAAATCGTAGCGATCCACTTACACTTTTTTCAGCCACCCTTTATAAGTTATAATATTTTCCTGAAATCCATCCTAAAACATACTTTAGGTCAGCACTCAAACAAAATTTTTAATTTTTTTTTATTATAGAAGCTACAGATGCCCGACACACTATTTCCGGAGCCCTCTATAATATCTCCTCGTCGTCAAAAGCAAAACATAAAGAACAAAGAAAAGACTATTTAAAATATCTAAATACTATTATAAACCGTTTTAAAATTTATTTATACAGAACGTCAACGGTTTCTACGAGCCCTAACAACTATATGTTGGGACAAGGTCTTTTTTTGCAATAAAAATAGTAATTTGTTAAAACGACTCGATTTATTTTGTTTATTATTCTAAATTCAAACATAACAATATGATCTAGACAATTTAACTATATTTTTATAACTTTGCAAACAAATCACTTTTGATAATAGCTTATTTTGCCAAAATCAAGTCAAATTTGCTGACAACTATATATTGGGACAGCACAACAAGAAATTTCTTTAATACGGAGTTACATCACCTTTCGCCTTAACAACTGCCTGAACTCTTATGGCATTGTATTTACCAAAGATTAGCACATTTGAGGAGAAAAATTATCCCAAATTTCCTGCAGTTTTGTCCGCAAATCAAAAATTGTTCGTTGAGGGTGGTTTCTTAAATATTGCTTCATTTTTTGCCACACAGTTTCTATAACATTGAGGTCCGGACTACTTGCAGGATAGGATAGAACTTTTATATTATTATGACCGAACCAATTTTTAGTTGATTTTGCTGAATGGCACGATGCTCCATCTTGTTGAAAAATATAGTCTTCGTTTGGAAACAATTCTTGAGCACTAGGCAAAAGTGAGGTCTCAAGTATATGTTGATATTTTTGGGCGTTAACAGTGCCATCTATAAAATTTAATTTGCCCAAACCTCTTGCTGACATGCAACCCCAAACCATAATCCCCTTAGGAAATTTAACAACCCTCTTTAAACAATCTTTATGAAAGGCTTCTGCTTTATTTCGTATTATTCTTTTTCGATGATCTCCAACGCAAACATCAAATTTAGACTCATCGCTAAATATGACCTTATTCCAATCATTTTGTGTCCACGATAATTTAGATTTTGCCCAATTGTAGCGATTTTTCTTTTCAATTTCTGTCAGTAGCGGTTTTTCTTTGGCCTAAATAAGAATTTGTATCAATAATCTTCATGTAATTGATTATCCACACAAAATAAAGTTTACCTTGTAAAACCCCAGACCGCATTTATGGATATATTATCGGCAACATTCTCTTGATATATTTAATCCAGTTACAGTATTCCATTTAACTGTTACTTCGCGAAGAGTAGGGGAGAATGCTCAACAGTGAGACACATTTTTTTAAGACCGTAAAAAATATTTTATTTTTTCATCAAAATAAACTATTTTAGTATACTTTAAAGGCAACCACTCTCTCCTAAACATGTTTAATTAACTACTCTCATTAAGACAAAAACATGTCTTAAAATTAACAATATTGTTATTATTGCATTTGTCTCATTGTTGGGCCCTAAGGTCTAACAGTAAGACAGAGGAAGTTTTAAGCAAATAACTATTTATTAATTACTTAAAAATAGTTAAGAGTATTTATTTGCGTTTTTGGTTTGGCATAAAACAAAGTAGAGCTGTCTTAAATAAAAAACTTAAAATATAAACACAAGTGCAAAAAAAAAATAAATAACTTATTCAACTAACGTAATAAAAAAAGGAGTTTTATAGATTTTTGTTGTTAATGTAACTTCGACTTAATATAAAGAAAAACTCTGTTATATAACAATCAATAACATGATAGACATGTTCAACAGTGCCAACGAGTGAAAAGGTACCTATGTCCCAGTCTTAACGGGTGCACTGTCTGTCGGACACTGTCTCACTGTTGGGAAATATATTTCGTCTCACTGCTGGACATTAACACCAGTCGGCCATTTTGTAATTTATTTTATTCTAAAACTACTTGAACAAAAAACTTAGAGGTATATTCAAAAAGACCATTCTAAACTTACCTCTCCACTAATGGATTTATTAAAATAACTAAGTGTTGGCCTTACAGACTGAAGAAAACGCACGTGTTAAAAATTATTTTTCGCTTCAGAAATTGTATTGGGTGCAGTTGACATATCTCCCAACACTGCAGGTTCCATATTTGATACAAAATAGTTGGTATATAGGTAGTGTTTTACTCTCGAAAGGGGAATTGGATTCGACGCGTTTTAAATGAAGGGGATTAAATGTCTCACTGTTGGACCTGTCTCACTGTTGGGCATTCTCCCCGACTTCTTCTCGTAGACTTGCAAATTTTTACTAAATTTCGTAAATCTCTCTGAGATACAACTTTTGGCCTTCCCGAACTTTTACCTCTAACGCCTACACTGGCAGATTCGCCGTATTTTTTTATTATATTAAAGACCGTGGTTTTTGGAATACTTAAATCATCAGAAATTTTTCGAATTGTTTTTCCCGTACTGTATTGACGAATGATAATTTCGCGTAGTTTTTGATTTGTAGCTTTTCCACGGACCATTACTCTGGATTAAATTAACAAAATTGAAAATTAAAAAAATTAAAATTACTTACAGTAACTCTCACTACTCAAAGTATCGAGTCACTTACAAGCTGTCAATGCTGAAGTAAACAGTTTGTGACATTTGTGACGTTTATAGCAAAGCCGCCTATGATATTAATTATTTAAAAATACCTTGTCCCAACATTTAGTTGTCAGGCAAATTTGTCCTTTTATGAACAAAATCCGCTGTAATGTAAATATGGATTGATTTACAAATTCATAAAAATATTGTCAAGTTGTTTAGGATATATGGCTATGTTTATATTTAAAAAATTAAACATCTATTTTTCAGTCATTTTGAAAAACCAGGGCAATAATTCCAAAATATGACCTTGTCCCAACATATAGTTGTTAGGGCTCGTATCTATATAGATGTATCTGCTAAAAACTAAAGTGGTCTTGAATAGTTGCACTATACAGGGTGTCCCAGAAATAAGTGCAAGTATTTTAACAGGTGGTAGATCTTGATAAGAGAAACATATTTTTTCTTTATCGTTTTTCAAATAAGTCCATAATAACGGAGTTATTTTACTTTGAAAATTTCCAAGAAGAATGATTTCTGGGACACCCTATATATAAATAGATTTTTCTGTATATTATAGATTTTTCTGTTTATACCTGAAACGTTAAGCATTTTTGTCAATTAGGCAAATTTGTTTTACTAGTAAAAAGCCACTGACAAACTGGTCTCCGTTTGGAATTAAGGCAGATGTTGTTTAGAAAAAAACCAGCGGCGAAAAAAAAACACTCTTTTCAAGAAACGGACCCGCCACAAATGTATATAGACATCATTTATTTAGTTTATGTTTGCGATGTGCCTTATTGTTGTGTGTTATGATATTCAAACTATGGGTATTTTCATGCTGCTTTTATTATTTTGTAAAAATTAGCTGGTGTATTAATAGCATTTATTTATTTACTTTATATGTTTTGTTCGCAGAATCACCATCCACAACCTCCATTGCCACCGGCCCAGCCAAAAATTAGTCAGCCCCCACCACCACCTCCTCAGGGTGCTACGCCCTCGTCTTTGTTACAGTTCCAAGCTCACATGCCCCCACCTACTGTTCAAAGATTTCAGGTAAGCTGTTTTTTATTTCTCAAATATGTATAAATATGGTAAATATCCATTATGAAACTTTATCACGAAATTTTACAGTGGAAACGCGCTTGAAATACATGTGATTTTTGTTTCAAAAACATGATAAACATCGTGTTTCATTTGAAATATTTCTTGCGCTTGACGTACGTGATAAGATTTGTATACTACAGTGTCTACTAATCGACTGCTCTTGAATTGAATTCCGCATAAGTGCATTCTATTTTTCTTTTTCAGGCTTTATTTTGCTAAGTAAATATTGTCAACCGACAGCAAACATCCTGAGAAAATTCTTGTAACATCCCTAATCCTCTTATTATAATTTTTAATTGTTAAATTGTTTTTCTCTTTGCTTAATCCAATCGCGTACCCCATTAATTTTGTTTTGAGGCCTTTTGAGGTTTTTTGTGAAGCTATTGAGTAAGAAGCCTTAAATTTTTTATATCTTTAATAATTGTAGACATCGCTTCTAGTATAGCCATAAAGATTATATCACTGTGGAAACAGCAAAATACATTGTAGTAGGGGTTTTCGGAAACTGTGATCTGATTGATAGGATTACTAATCCAGACGTTCGAAAAGTGATCTCAAAACGAGTCAATGCGTTCGGAAAGTGATCCGAATAACTCGATTTTTGCCATATATGTTGTGATCCTATTAACCCTCCTAACGAGGTGGGTAGAATTAATAAGCTGATCATTTTTAGGGTAATTTTAAAAGTAACGGTCCGCATAGAAGTATAAAGTTTTTTAAAAACCGTTTTGTCCGAAATCACTTTATCTAATGTTGATCAAATACATGATATTTTGTTAGTGACCGTGAAAATGAGCCAATCACCATAGCATCAAGTAACTCTAGATTTTAAGTAAATAAAAAACAAGTAATTCTGAAGATACTGATTGAGACAGCCATTAGGAAAAAAATGAAAACTGAACTGCAGAACTTAAGCGGTTTAAAACATTTAGATTAAAATAACCAGGCATAATGAAAGAATGGAACTTGATAGACAATTTCTGAAAATTTTCATCACAATGGTAGATAAAAATTGATATATTTTTTTATTATTTAATATGTCGGAATGTTTATTATGTTGACAGTAAATAAATTATTAAAATAAAGTTTATAGTGTTTTTGTTTTAAATGGCATAATTTTAAAAAAGACTAAAATAAAACACATCTTGTTTTTATAAAAAATAGTCTTACAGAAACTAAAAAGTATACTTAAAACCAAGCATTCGTAATTGAACTACCAGCTGATTACTCTCAGCACTGATCTTGGAACAGCTGACTACCTAATCTAGGATTTTAATTCCGAAAACCCCTTGTGTCTCAAAAAAACAAAAATTTCAAACCCTCTTGAAAACTTGTGAATGGAGGAATATTTTTATCTCTATATATTTTGGTCATGAAACAAGTCTCTCATGAAGTAAATTTTCATGACATTTTTATTTCATCGTGGACACCTAAATTCAGAAATCTTGTGTTCGTGTGTTCAGTTCTGATTCCTCAAATAAATGCAATTTTATCATTCCTTCATTAATTCTAGTTATTCCAAAAACGATATCGGTATTTCGAAAACGGTATCGAAATTTTTATGCAACAGCTTCTGGGAATATCTTATTTGGCGCTCTAAGGTTGAACATATTACTTTCTCTTTCTAAATAGAACTCTCAGTGGTATATACTGAATATGCGCTAGAACCAATTCTACTTGTGGTTAACACCTTCCATCAGATATATTATATCGCGTCGCCTGATTCGTTCACTGCTCATCGAAATATCAGATCTAAATGGTCAAACCTGTGCCGCTCAAAACCCTTTGTTCCCCGCGACATTGAGAATGAAATACAACAGCAATCGTAGGTTTTTTGATACCTTAATTTTCGATTTATTAATTCCTAAAAAAATTAGGATCCCCAAGGTTGTGGATCCCCAAGGTATTAAACCATTGCCCATTATTAAATAATAATTTTTTTTTTCAGACTTATCAGCTTCCTCCAGGGAGTCTGATATTCAACGCACCTCCACCGCCGCCTCCAAATGGTCAACCCCAGAACAATCAAATGTATTTCCACCCGTACGGACCTTCACCTCCGGTATCTCGCTGAATCAGTTTCGGAATGAATGTCGGAATTAGGTTAGGAAGACTTATTGCTTTACTTATAAGGATATAGACCGAATAGGATAAATTAACTGAATGAAATTAAAAAAATCTCTTTTTTTCTATGTTAGAATTAAATATTATTGAAACTAAAATATAGTTTCGGAACAAATGTCGATTAATAGATGTAAATATTCAGTAAAGATTGAATGTTAAAGCTATGATGTGCTTTATTTGTTTTTACTTATGAATGTTTGATGGGGGGAACGCTGGTTTTGTTAATCATGGAAACCCTCAAGATGTCTCGGTGGTTTTTCCACTTAGGAAAATAGTTTAACCTGTAAAAGTTTGAAGCCTCCTGGGCTGGAACTCTGTAACTAAATAGCGATCGGTAGCGATGAAGAATACTGACCTTGGCCGTACAAACTAAACGGCAAGCGACAGTATTCTTTATCGCTACCGATCGCTATTTCGTTACAGAGTTCCACTCCTGTGTTCTCAGGGACATGCTTAGTGTAAGGATTAGTCTGTAGTATATGACTATTCAATTTGGATGTCCTTTCTTTCCTGACCATTATATGTGATTCATTCTACAATATGTGCCCCTATAGGAGATGCTCAGCACTATCCCTTGCTGCCGCTGCTGAGACAAAACCATGAACAGCCCAACATTATGTTCTATTTCATTGATAATATATACCGTATGATCAATGAAGATGAAATGAAGATCGCTGTCTTTTTATATGAAAAATTATCGTTGACGTATCTGTTTTAAAAAACTAATAGCGTTTTCACATGCGACGGACCGTCCGTCGTGTTTTTTCAAGATAGCCGTCGAACAAACTTCGTCGGACGGAGCATACGCGCCCATGTGAAATTGTTCATATAAACTCATGGTACTTACTCGAGGTCACGGACGCTCCGTCGCATGTGAAAGCGCTGTAAAGTGTTCTCGAATAGTTGAATTTAAATATTTTAAATAGTTTTTTCTTTATTCTTCGTATTTTTTTTTGGCTTCCGACGACCGGAAAGAGATATACTTTCCGAAACGTTAAGCATTTTTTGTTTGTTAGGCAAATTTGTATAACTGTAAACCTAACTTCTGACAAGTAGTTTCCGTTTGGGTTTGGTTTGAAGTGTTTACAAAAAATAACTATTTTATTTTGTAGATTTTCTTGCAGTGGCGAAATACCCATATAGGATTTTTTTAAAATTGCATGTTAGCGCGTAGTCTAAAGTCGGTCCTACACGATGTGGCAAATGTATCCAACGTTAGAAAGTTGTGTGGGACCGGCTTAAAACCCTTTCGCACTGTTTATCGATATACAATATCAAAAAAGCGGCATCATAGACGGCATAGAAATAATGATAAACTGTCATTTAATATGCAAAATTTTGAGAAATGTCCGCTATCGTCATTTCAAAACCAACTTGAGGTTGTTTTTTTTTTCGATCTATAAAAGGTTCTTAGTCCTTTTATTTCCTGGTTATTTAAAAAAAAATATAGGAAATGAAAACACTGGTTTGAATGAAGGGGGTTTTTATTTTATTTCAAAAATTTATTTAAATTACAAAGTCCATTTAGTCCTTTTATTTTTAACAAAAATAATAAATTACAACAATGGAGCGGTCGACCAGTTAGAACCTATCATCACACAACTGAAATTTTTTGCCTCGTTTAAAACATTTTCCAATCATAAATTAACCAAAAAAAACTAAATTATAATTCTATCCCGCACGTGTTCTCCTAACCGATCTGTAAAAGCTATGCAGTATAAAAGAAACAAAATAATAATTTCTAACGGCAGCAGTAAAAATATACAATGATTCTTATCCTGCCATTTTATGGGTTTTCTTTATATAAAATAAAAATATTATCACTTAAGGTACATTATTACATCTAACCTACAAGTTAATACTGACACCAGGAAATGTGGAAAAGCACGACACACGAACTAGAGCGCTTCGAAATATTTTTGCGCGGACCGTTTTTTCGTCTCTTTTTTATGGTGACTAATCGAACATAATGTTAGTTTTTTTAAAGTTCACTCTCTTTTCATTTTTGTCGGTCCCATCACAGTCAACTGGTACAAACTGAATCGGAGGAGATTCCTACTTTCGTCGTCCGTCGGTCGAATAGTACGTGTTCTAAAACTCCTGTGTCAGTTGGCCAGTTATTTACTTGTCAGATCATGGTTTCACTAAAAAAATAACAAAGAACATTAATAATTTGCAATTTTTACCATAACTACTAAAATAAAAAAGAATTCTTACATAATAAAATCCTATGAAGATGTAACGAATAATAAATAAAAAGTTTTCCTTTTTAATATTATCACAGTCTGTTCATTAAACAGCCACTCGATTTCGCTAGTTTTTGAGTAACTGCGCTTGACCTGCCGCGCCTTTTCTCGTACACATATGTGAGGGCACACTAGTTTCGAGTTTTTATAAACGGAGCTTCAATAGAGCTCAAAAACCGATTTGTTACAGACAAGAAATATCTAGATAGGTACGAAAATATCTAGGGCGGTATGTAGATTTCGTAAGTCGTCTAGCTGTCTAATGAATAGGCTGTGTAAATATACCAAAAAAAAAACGTAGTTTTTGGGCTCGTATAAGCGGTTTAATAAATCTATATATATATATATATATATATATATATATATATATATATATATATTTCTTATAAAAAGTCCCATAAAGATCAACAGTAGAAAAATAAACAAAAATACTAGTAATAATTCTACTAATTTAATCTGTCCAGCAATATAAACAGAAATCTGTTATTTTAATTTAAAAATAGATTGTTCTGACATGTTTTGGACGCCAATCTGCCAAAAATCATCTACATATTCTCTCGCTGGACAAATTATATATGTAAACCGATTTCGTTAGTCTTTAATATAATTTTTCTCTACGCTTTCATGGAATACAGTTTTGGTGTTAAATGTTTATTGTTTAAACTGATTTATTTTTTTTATTTCGAAATATAAAAGGAAAAGAGAGTTAAATGGATCCAAAACGATCTTAATAGTCCATGAAAAGAGCATAGTAATAATTGTTATGTTACGGCCATATCTACTATAGTCTGCACAATCATCACTCAACGTTACGTCATCATTGTTTATCTAATATCGCTTTTTATTTAGAAAATTTTAAATACGTTCCGAAATTAGTAACTGTTTCATGTAGATATTTTTTAACCTTTTATTATTTTTTGGTTGTGTTTCAATTTATCATTTTAGATGCACATACCAGATTAAGTAATAAACATTTTAGTAACAAACTGATTTGAATTTTTCTTGACCATATTGTCGATTTTTAATTTTGACACTGATCAATATCCATCATAACGAAAAAGTCAGTTCCGACAGTTACTAGAAACAATGCGTAGTGATTCACGATATGCCTATACAAGGTGGCGCACCTCATTCGCCTCGGTTGATTATATGAAAACGGAAAGATGTAAAAACAAAATATTTTGATATATGTGGGGAGGCAATGTGCATAATTTAAAATTATTTTGAAATATACAGGGTATCTCAGAACTAAGATCCATACCAAAGTTATATTTTTTTCTTATGGAACACCCGGTATTTTATTTAATTGTTGGATTCTTGGGTCCAAAAAAAGGTATTTATTATAAGGGTTAAATATTTTTAAAATCTTTGGTTTTTGAGATATTTAAAGATATTTAAATATGCATGCTACAAAGCATTGATTATTAACACCCTGTACATTTACCCTGAGTTTAAAGGTAAAGAAATAAACTTTACTAAAATATGTTATTGCTTCCTTAAATTTATACAGGGGTACCAAAAATTGCTGGTCTATTTTAAATATTCATTTTACGTAAAAACTTCGTTATTTCAAATACAACACCCTGTATTTTTTAAAATAAATCGAAGGCAGATTCAAATGCTTTTTCAAACTATATCAGGGTTTCCTATACCTATCTAAGTCAGATTTTGAATAAAGAGCGATTTTTCTATAAAATGGCAACCAAGAGGGCTAGTGTCGTCAGGGCAAATTTCTAGTGATAATTAGTATCTATTTTCAAAATCGAAATTAGTTTATAGACTTTATTTGAATTTATACCAGTTTACTTTTAATTTAACTACAATAGTTTAATAAATAATATTTATTAATACGTATTTACTATTCTATCAAGAAAAACGAAAAAGCAGTTCTTTGTTTTATTTTACGATAACTTGATATTTATGGATTTTCTATAAAAGAAGTTATTACGGCAAATTCAATTTCTTCACTTCCAACTTCCATCTATATAGGTTTTTTATAAACTTCACACTCTGCGAAATAGGAAATAGGACAAATAGTTTTTCAAAGGAACGCTTATCAGGAAGATTCCTATTTGAATATCTTTAAGCATAAGCTCTTGAGGACAAGAAATAATTTTCCTCACAAAATAAAATCGCTAGTAACATATCCATTCGTTCCGCCAGCCGGCAGCAGATACGGTTTTATTTTTCTTCATTAAATAAGTAACTTACCCACAATAGTTTAATAAGTAAGAATACTTACTTATTAAACTATTGTGGGTAAATTTTAGTAAACTGTTTAAATAATAAAAAGGTCGTCATAACTTACAAATACAATTAAAATTAATTATTATTAATTAATAAGAAATGAATTGAATGTTATTTATTTAGGTTCTTTCATGTTAGGTCTGATGACGCTCTTATATAAGCGAAACACGTGTAACAGTTAAACATTGTATAAACGTTGAGACCGAGACTTTGAGTCTTTTTTCTACTTTTTTAATTTGAACCAGGTCTCTGAGAAAAATGGATGCCTTCTTTAAATTCCCTATAAAAATGCCTTTTTTTGGGCCCAAGAATCCAAAAATGAAATAAAATACCGGGTGTTCCATAAGAAAAAATATAACTTTGGTATGGATCTTAGTTCTGAGACACCCTGTATATTTCAAAATAATTTTAAATTGTGCACATTTATTGCCTCCCCACATATACCCATAAAATATTTTGTTTCTACATCTTTCCGTTCTCGTATAATCAACCGAGCCGAATGAGGTGCGCCATCCTGTATATGACGTCTACAATCTACTTCATTATGTTTCAAGTGAAGAAAATCTATATTTGACGTAACGTTGAACGACTTCAGACAGTAGTTATTATTATTATTATTATATATTTATCTACGAAGTTTGAAATGTCAAACGCAATTTTTTACAACCCACAAAAATAATGTACAAAACAAAACAAAAACACTTGAAAGTTAACCTGACCCACAAAAAAACAGTCACTTGAAAGTTACCTTACCCACATACATACGTGGACAGAAAATCAGTCATCCAAAATAATAAACGAGTAAAAAATTAAATAATTCGGTGTTTTAGCATATTTTTGTTGTGAATAATCAATCTTCATACTAATTTATGAATTTTTTTTACAATTTTATCTTCAATTTTATAAAAAAAAATAATCAAAATCGAATATTTAAAATTGACGTCACTTAAGAAAAGTATCACACATTGACATCAGAATGCCAAAAATCACGACAGTGATTAGAGCCCAAAGAGAGAATAACTTATTCACACATTACGATTTAATTTTTAATATATTTTTAACAAGGAAAATTATTAAAATAACCTTAAACAGTCCAATAACTATATACAACATAAGTCGTAAAAGTAAAAGAAAAACACGAATTTAACGTACAAAGTAGACTTATAGCAACGCAGAATTAGATAAGCTAGAATATGAAAATTCATTCAGAACCTCCAAATTAGTGGAATAAATCAGTGGTTTCAATTAACGTAGAAGTTTGTTGCTCTAATTTCTATGTAAGCATTCAGAACGTTAAAATTAGCGGTAGTAATTTGCAATTAGTAGAAAAAGTTAACAAACTTTTAATTTTTGACACTAAAATACTTCAATATTTAGGAGTAATGTCATTTTGACCTTTGATTGTCATCCTTCAAGAGAAATTGTGGTTAGAAATGAAAAGTTTATTGTTTTATAAGATAAATATTAGACATACTCTATGGATACAACTGACTACCGCAAGCTGTTGCTAGGATATTGATTAATTTCAATTCTGTTTTTTAGACACTGTGAATGATAAATGTAAACTAGGTATAAAGTGTAATCAAAACTAATTTATTTCAATAATTGCGAGGTTCTGAATGAAGCTTAACTGTTTGGTGACACTCTCTGTTGTTTCCTCCACTTAATGCTCATAAGTGACGTCAGACTTTTTAGGTGTCTGTTTAAACTAACCTCGACGCGCATTTTGTTTTTCTTTACCGCATAATCAATAAGTTTAAATATAGTAAAACACCGGATTACAAATTATGACATCACAACCCCATAAATAAATTAAATAAAATTCTTTTTGAAACAGTTAAATATAACGAAATCGTCCCAGACCAGTCACCTGACCCATACACGCGGGAGGATCGTTTGCTTTCGTCTCCGTCTCGTCTGCTTCCTTCTCTAGACAAGAGGAACCTTTTTCCTCGACATTATTCAACACCAACGCCACGTCTTTCACGGTAGTGCTAGCAGCCGCAGCGGCCTCTATGGTTATTGCGTCACACAGACCGAGCTTGGCGGCCTGCGCCATGTCGGCCCCTTCCGGCTGGTCTGTGCCGTCCTGCGGATGCGCGGTGGCCACCGCGGCCGCCGCCTTCTTGGCCGCTTCCTCCAGCTGCTGTTGCTTTATTTTCGCTAGGGCCTCCTCGTTCGAGAGAGGGCAGTAAAGCGGACCGGTGAAGGATGAGGAGGAGGAGGGGCCTTCGAGTGTCGAAAATAAAAAAAGCATACACAAATGTCTCTAGATTGTCTGCGTTATTTGGGTATTAACTTTACAATCCTACATAATATGTAGTGTGTCAAACGTGCCAGGGAAAATTTCGGCAATGACAATCAAAAAATAACAGAAAATCATATACATATAGAGCTAAAACGCACTGACGACCAGGTCGCAGCAACCAGCCAACGACCAGGATGGTAGTGCGCGTTGTATCTTTTGATTTAATAGTATTATTGGTCGCAGCGACCAAGCTGTGATAGCTTGGGCGTGGACGTTAGTGCGCGTTGCATCATTTTATTAGTGGCCGTTGGCTGGTCGATGCGACCTGGTCGTCAGTGCGTTTGAGCTCTAATAGAATATATTGCCAGTACCGCATAAATTCTTGTCCTAATATTAAAGGATAATATACAGAATGCAAATTCCCACACAAGTTTCCTGAGCTTGCGATCTTGTGAGCACTTTGATTGGACAATTCTAATCATATGTTTGAAACTGAGGTTAAAGGTGTTCTAATAAAACCGAGATATAGCAGGAATCTACACCCTCCATATCTCTGAATAAAAAAAATCAATTGATAACTGAGGGTAATCGATAACCATCATAGATCATAGAAAAAACAGAAAGGTATGAATCCTATAGTGTGAGTTACTGTGCGTGTTAAAGTTCACAACCTTTACCCAAAAAGTCTTTATTGGGGGACTAGAAATAAAAATAGGATGAGCCCGGGGATCCCTTTTGAAAAACTACCCCAAAACCACCACCAAAGGTACATTTTTTAGTTGTTCTCAATTTTCTCAGAAACTATTATTTTTTCGGGAAAATGTCAAGAGACCTAATTTAAATAAAATAAAATTTCCTATCGATTGGTATATAACATGTCTATTTTCAACAAACAATAAATTCTAAACAAACCCTAAAATATTGCAAAAATACTTTGCTTGCACAATTTTCTCCATTTTATCCAATTTTAAACAGGCACATATTTTGAATATAAGAAATATCAGAAAAGGCAACCTTAAAACACAAAATAAAAAGAAAAACACAGAATAAACAAAAATATACCGTATAGATATAATAATCAAGATTCTGAGCATACGCATTTGTATAATAATGTACAGGGAAGATTCTTTTTTTTTACAACTGCATGCTTTAAGACAGTCCTTCTTACAGTTACCTTTCATAAGCTCCTCGCAGGCTTTACTAATTTGTGGGATTGATATCCACTTCGGGCTAAGTTTGGCTTCAGGAGATTTCACCCAGCCAAAATCAGAAGGGTCTGGAGCATGAATTAGATGATTTTTCGTAGAAACCCATATGCTCGCTTGATACACAGCTCTTTTGCAGTGTAGCAGTAGAGCATCCTGCGTTGGAGGTATGGTCTCTGGGTTGTGGTTCCGGTGGCAAAACATCTCCTTTCTGAGCTGGTTCAAACTTTTTGTTTCCCCACCGTAAATTTGAACAAAAAATGATTCTAGTTCACTGAACAATGGAGAGTCTATTTCAATACTTGTAAATGGTTTAGTCAAATGCTCACACATTGCAGATATTAAAAACTCTCCTCTTCTTTACATTGCATGGAATGCGGTCTTTTTTATCTTCCTCTTATAGATGATGTGGAATCACATCCTGTTATGGTGGTAAATAGAGCCATAGCGCAGCTAAGTTTCGATCCCAAAGCGTAGTATAGGTTTCCTCCAGTTCCGTAGTTCTTCTGTTTCCTCCAGTTCCATAATATAGATATATTGAACAATCGGGACTAAGCTGTTGGAAATATTCAAAATGGTATATTAGGATAACAATTATATCGGAGTCTACGCTTTTCACGAGAACTGTTTTTAATCCTGTCTTTAGAGCATGAATTATATGTAGGATAATTTTGGTATCTGCTTCTTCGTGATCGCAGTTTTCAAACATCTCTGCTCCTGGGCCAACATGTCGAACAGTGTTTTCATTTGTAATGTAGAAAGCACACTGGACTCCTAATTTAATTTTTGAACAAGCAGCATTCGTTAGAGAAAAAGATCAGTTTCATTACCCGAGTTCCGAAAAAATTCAGACCATTTCTTAGGTATTTTCGTCGTAGAACTGATTTTGATCCTGGCACTGGTACCACGATTTTCTCTTGTGTCCGACTTAATTGACATTTTCCAATAACTATCCCACGTTATGTGCAACTGAGGCGTGTTTTTGAATTATGATAATATGTATGTCAAGAAACATCTGTTTACATAGTCTTCGAAAGAGATCGTGTCGGAAGTGGGATGTAAAAGATGTATCAAACCACCACCATCGACTACTACTATCAAAGTATTGAGGGATTCCGATTTCTGCTGTATCTGAGTTTTCTGTGACTCAATATACAGCTTAAAATGTCGAAATTTTTCGATTCAAACATTTTATTGACACTATCTCCAAAGTCACAAAAGGTTCAAGGATTTCCGTCCGGAAATTCTTGAACTTTGTGAGCGAAAAAATCGTCAATATTTCCGTTTCGAGACTGTACCGATATATACAAATTAGCAAGTACATACATGTTATTTTTTATACAAGTTATCTTTCTCTGGAATACGCGTAATTTCTATTTTTATTAATATGGGTAATATTAGTCTAGCTCGTCACATTTTTTATTTTTACCCTAATTTTATTACCGTTTTTTTCGATTATTAATCAAGTGATTATGAACTTTGTATACACCAGTCGATAGAAAATTTTCTTTTTTTTAAATTAGGTCTCTTGATATTTTTCCAAAAAATCAATAGTTCCCGAGAAAATTGCAAAAACATAAAAAAATGTACCTTTGGGGGTGGTTTCTCGAGAGGATCTCTGGGCCTTCATCCTATCTTTTTTTCTAACCAACCAATATACCCATTTCCAGTGAAGGCCAAACTTTAACACGCATAGTAACTCACGACCCATTTTAGCATGGGATTTAATACCTACTAGAAAGGCGGATCGGCGTATCAATATCCAGCAATTCTATTGGCTGAAATTTTTTGAAAATTCATCTGTCAAAAATTGGAGATCGATACGCCAATCCGCCGGCGCCGTCCTGCTTTTCCTACGATGGTGTGAAGGCACCGTCACATTGACGCCATTCAATCAATAGGAATTAGCACTTACGCACAAGTGTCTTACTTCAAAAATTCTAAACAAGAGCGAACTTATGTTCCCGTACAAGCAAAGAAAAAAAAAATAAAACCGCCCATTCCATTGCGAACGAGGCGCGACGCGAATAAAGATATATAAGCAAAAGCACGAAAAGCTGACGATTTCCAGCTTGTTGCTTCAGGTGACTTCAGTCTCCAACAAACTTCTAGAGAACAAACGCGGAATGGACTTTCACTTAAACTGGACATCACCAATTATAAATACGCCTTTTTATTATTTTATGGTAATTATCACTCACTTTTAAAGCGAATGTTTTTCGTTCATTATGATATTTTAATACAGATTTATGGTGTAAATTCGATAAAGTTATTTTCGCAAAGTAGCCTTACCTTGTTGGTTCTGTTGACTACTGTTCTGCTGTTGCTCGTTGTTGCTTCTGCGTTGTGGCTGATTTGGTTGTCTGTAGTTTCCCCGGAAACCACCACGATATCCGCCCCTAAAACCTCCTCGACCCCTATAACTAAAAAGAATCCCAAAATTATAAAATGCAATACATTGATATACGAGTTTTTCACGTTACTAGTTCATTCAAAGTTTTTTGGATCTAATTTAGATACAAATTTGACTGTTACAAGTTAAGAGGTAAAATATTTTTCTACAATATTTTCCACTTTCTGAGGCCGTTTACTTATTTTAATCTTTATAATACCAGATCACTATGGATCTAACATGGCATTTTTTTGTACCCCATTTGGTCTTTCACAAGAACCCATATATACAATATTACAAAAGTTTATTTAGAATTTAAAAAATGAAGAAAATTATTTAGATTTTATACTTAAGTAGAAATGAGCATCAAATCGCAAACTGCGATTCAATCGCAGCGATTTTAAAATAGCAATCGCTACCTGTGATTGGCTATCACAGCAAACTGCGATTTGCGATTTCGTCTATTTGCGAGTTTCAAGTTAAGCAACCAATATTACTATAACTGATTTGCGATATTGCTGAGACTGTGATTTTGTAAACTAGGACCGTAATAACCTTCTATCTACGAGTTTGAATTTTTAGGAGTTTTTGGATTTTGTTGCGAATGTAATTTTGTGGTTCATTGAAGCATTTTACGAGTATATTAAACAGCGATTGAATTTTTTCTCTAATTTTATTTATTTATACAGAAGGTATGGTAGGGCCAAGATCGGTAATACATTTAATTAATAACTTTTCAATTTTTTTCTGATAAAAAACCTAGATTTGGTATGTTAGCGTATGACAAATTAGGATGCAGACCTATTCAATTCATTTCGATCACTTCCTGTTTCACCGGAAATTACTACAACTTTTAATTTTTAAATGACACCCTCGGTATTTTTTGCTTTATTCAATAGAAAATCTCTGAACAGACACTCTGTAGAGAATGGCATATCATATGTCAACTTTTGACATACACGATTAAAAAATCTTATTTTAAATTTCAATCTAGAGTGCCATGGCTGTATTAAAAACACTAATTTTTAATCAAGGATCCTTGGAAAAAAGATTTAATTGTCTTTTCTTTTTCGTGTGTTGTCCTGGCCGATTAAAAAATATCCAAATCTTTTAAAAAACCGATTAAAAGATAATCCAAAATATTTTTAATCATATCTCAGTGTTTTTAAATGGAACGAGGATGGTTCATTAGCATATTTAGAAATAGCATTTTTTTACGAATAATTTGGTACTACACATTTGGTAAATCGAGTCAAATTGTCGTTGTTAGGCTAGTACGATATATCGCAAGTATTTTTTCATGAAACCTGGAATATGATACTTTTTTCTACATTCCCTCTAAACTAGCGATGGGAACTATCGAATGAATTAGACTATCGAATGGTTAATGAATGAATGATTAAAACTATCGAATGGTTTTATTCGAATAAAATCATTCATTCATTTGTATACTAAAGCATATGTGACAACCTCGCCGTGCGACCAAATGGTTATCGTTGCGCCACGACTATCGAATGCTTTTGATAAATGAAAAATGAAATTTAGTATTCGTTTGATTTTTGTATGCGTCAGTGCATTATTAGTTCTTCCAAATTTTATAACTTCGCCGTATAAATATTGTGCTATTTTTGCGTTTATTTAAATAGTTAAAATACTAAAATAGTAGTTATTTTTTAATTTTATTTATTGACGATTGTGTGCATGTGCAGGTGGTCAAAATTTTTCCGAAAATTTGTATGGTTTTCCGTAGTCCGATCTTTCAATTATTTAATTTTATATGGTATATGGTCTATTTTTTAATGGGAAATATTGAGAAGTAGCAATTTTTAAGAGAGATGATATGAACTTTGAATTAATTTTAAAAATACATATTTGTATTTTAGATGTTTTAATAATATGAATTAGTTGAACTTAATAATCATATTTAAGTAATGTGCTTAAGTAAATGGTTATCGAACTCAAACTATGGGTGAGAAAATTAAAATGAAAGTTTTACAGGTGCCAATTTTAAAAAAAAGTTAACGATTTTGTATTTTGTTTATGCTAATTCTCTTACATGTAGTTTTTTGCGAAGAAATATTTCATTTATTTTTTAAAGTAAATGCCAGTAAAAGTAAATATAATTTTTAAATAGAAATATGAAGCACCTAATATAAATAATTTTGATTTCTAATTTTTTATTTATATTTTCGTTCCATTACACTGCATGATTAGAAAATTAATAAATGTTTATATTTCATGATTTTAAAATTTGTTGTTAATATAACAAATTAGTTCTGTAATTATTATTATTCAATAAACCAACGTTGCCAAAAAATTTAGAGACTATATTATTTTTAAATAGGATCTAATATAAATAATTTTGACATCTAATTTGTTGTTTATATTTTGCTAATACTTAAAAAAAATATTTATATTAAATCATTTTAAATTTTGTTGTTAATAGGTATAACAAATTATTACTGTTATTATTATTTATTAAACCAGTCTTTGCTTAAAAACATTAAAAATCATTTTCTTACATCCAAAATAACAAGTATTATTGCAGTGTAACAACAGGATATTAATAAAAAAAAATTCAGAATATATAGACATACTATCCCTAACTAACTAAAGCCAAACAATAATATTCTTTGCTAATATCAACTAATACCAAAATATGGCAACAGCGCCCTTCATAATGTATTTTCTGTGTAAATACTAGCACCTCAATAAAAAAAATAATGTGTCGTTATCTATATCTGACTCCGCAAAAAATCAAAGATGCCGGCTTCTTTCATAGCATTGCCACCGACCGCTGTCGGGTTTGGAAACCTACGTCGCCGGGCGACAACTAAAATTCAGTTAATATTTTATTATAATCGATCCTGACGAATGAATGAATTTCATAAATGAATGAATTTTATAAATGAATGGTTTTTGCTGCCGAATTACTAGAATACAATATTTCAATGGAACGAGGATGGTTCATTAGCATATTTAGAAATAGCATTTTTTTACGAATAATTTGGTACTACACATTTGGTAAATCGAGTCAAATTGTCGTTGTGTTAGGCTAGTACGATATATCGCAAGTATTTTTTCATGAAACCTGGAATATGATACTTTTTTCTACATTCCCTCTAAACTTATTATTTCTGATCTCAATGATAGTAGATTTCGAAAAACACTCATAAAGAACGGTTTTAAACAAACGTTCTAAATAAATCTAAAAACATCATAATTACTACTTATAAATCTTTTTTTTTTCGTCAGCACATCCCCATACTTTGTCAACCCATCGGTCTTTATACCGTAAATTTTTCTTATTCCATAGTACGTTATGCTTTTCTATTTCCAAAATAACGTTCGTACGATATTTTTGGGGAAAAACAAACGTTGAATTTATACGCAATGAGTGCGTTGACACACCAAACAAAATCGACCGCACACAGCTTCCTTATCGTGTTCACGCTGGACATAGGGTAACTCTGTATAGCTAAGGCACTAATTTACTTGTGATTTAAAATGACAGATTCAACTATCACTGTCATGGATCCCCCTTGTTGGACAGATAATATTCTGTGGTGAAGATGGATAATGTGACAATTTTTAAAGTACGATAAATTTAAAAATTAGGAAATGTGAATAATGTGGTTATAAATAATTCTTCAACTCACCTTCCCCGCCTGGTGGCCGCAACTCCGAACGTCTCCGAATTGAGCTTGCGCTCCTTGCGCCAGTCCGTCCGCTGCATCTTGCCCTTGGCCCTTTCCACTGCCTCGCATGAGATCTTGTCGAAGAACGACTTGCTCTTGTCGTAGTAGACTTCATGGTCCTCGTCCTGCTCAGTCTCGCCTGCTCCGGTCTCGTTGCCCGAGTCGTCCTTCTTGTCGACGGGTTCAACCGGCGCCGCCTCGCCGTTGACCTCACTTTTTGAACTGCCCGCTTCATCGAGCTTCACCTGGAATACAAAGAAAATTCCATTCGGGGCGTTGCTATTCTAAATAAGAGCTAAAACACACAAGACTGTTTATAGGCTGTTAATAGGCGTTGCAGCGCAACGGATGTGCAGCCCAGTATCAGAGAACACAGTCACCGCGGCTGCCGACGCCACCGACATTGATCGTAAAACCGCTTGTGCAGGGGCGCTATTCTGTACACGGCAATCGTCGGTATCGGTAAGTTACGACAGCTCTCGGTATGTATTTGTATATAGTAAAAATGTGTTAATTGTTGTTGTCATAGTTATCAATCTATGGCAGATATCGCAAATTTGTACCGACGAGGATCAGTATCTCTACCGTGCCTTTGTTAACCCCACGTTAGAGATACCGATAGTCGTCGGTACAAATTTGCGATATTGGGCTTGTTTTTTGTTCTTTGTGTGTAGTAATGAAATACTATAATCATTACTGTACAAAAAATAGGGCTCATTTATAGCCCAAACTGGCTCTATATTCTACTATAATGAAAATAGGACAATAAAAAAAAACTCTTGCCTTTGCCAGTTTATTCTTCAGTTCCTCAAATTCCGTGTTGGCTTGCTCAAAATCATAATCGTTATCAAATTTCAGTGTGGTCTTCTTGCTACCTAACTGTCCAGATTGACCACCAGGCCTAAAATGATTAAAACAAATCTTATTATCAACAAAAAAATTAAAATAAATATACCAGTTGAACAAGCAATATGCAAATTAAAATCGCAAATCAATAGCTAATGGCAGGTTCATACAGCAAAATAAAATAAAATAAGAAAGTTGGCTCTATGGGATACCGTACCAAACCGTACAGTCGTTCATACAGCCAAATAAAAGAAGGATTGGTTATCTTTTTAACTTCTTATTTTATTTTATGTGAAAACGGCTTTGTGCACGCTTAATTCTAACCCACAAATATTTTCAGTTAGGATTTATTTTATTTTATGATTTAATATGAGTTAACAAGAGTATAAATTGCATCAAATAAAAATTTACTATAAACAATCATTAAAATCAAGTTTCCTCATACTGCTAATATATTATATTTCTTAATATAAATAATCATTAAAATCCAATTTCATCGTACTGAGCATGAGCTAATATATTGTCAAGGTGTATTACTGGTTGCATAACTGCATACTGTTAAATAATCGCAACGTACATTGAGGAACCTGGCGCATTCGCCAGAAAGTAAAAGAAAATTATAGAATTCTTTAGAAAAATCTAGAAACAATCGCCAGGGGGTATATAAGGCCCGCGCTTTGACAGTTGGACAAGTCTGAAGATAGTCTGTAGTTTGAATAATACCGCGAAATACCGTTAGAGTAATACTAGTTGCATAAATTGTGTTGTAAATAGTATAAGTTGTGTGTACAGAGTGAAACAATAAAATTCGTTAAGTATTTTATCGTGAGTTTAAATAGTAGACCCACGGAATCCGTAACAATATATTTCTTATTTTATTTTACTTGGCTGTATGAACGCTCACAAATTTCAACAAAAAAGTTGAAGAAATAACAATTACCTAAATGGACCTCCTCTAGGTCTGCCTCTTCCCCTGGCTGGCATATTCCTCTGATTGTTAATCCAACCTCCAGCTGGACCTCTCTGCTGGTGCTGATATGTCATTTGTTGGTTGTTTTGGTGTTGCGGGCGACCTCTGTTGTGTTGGTAACCCTGATTGTACTGATGCTGTTGAGAGTACTGAGATCTATGATCCTAAAAAAATAACCATAAAACAAATTCGTTGTTTTTTTTTAAATAACTGAAAAATTACCTGATTATCATTTCTATTCTGATTATTTCTTTCTCTGGACTTGTTCCTTTGTTGCTGGCCTTTGGGTGGTTGGATCGGTTTAACTTGTCTTTTATTTCCATCCTATGTAATAGTTTTACTTATATTAGTATTACAAAGAAATAATCATATATTGAATAAAGAAACTAAGGAGAAAGAGTCTGTATGATCGAAACAAACGGCGTCAAAGACGGCTAGGGAATGACGATGATAATTTTGCCAAAGTCAATCTTTAAACGCCACTCATTAAAAATTGACATAGTACTTGTCAAAAATTAACAATAATTATAGACAGATTAAAAAAGGATTGAACGTTCCCGGACACACAAGTCTATTCCCAAAAATTGACTTTTCTTGAATTTTAAACTACACCATTTAAAAATCATTTTTACTCAATATAAAAATAAATTAAACTTTCTTAAGGCCAACTGACAGTAAGAGCCATTAAAAACTAAAGAGTTTGGGTCTAGTAAAAGATGTCTAGGGCTTGACCTTGCCAAAATTATCATCGATTGTCATTACTAAGCCCTTCAACTCGGCTTTTTAATTGTACGGTACTACTTTTATAATCATGCAAGTGCCACTTACAACTTGGAATTTTTGCGGTTTTGTACTGCTTTTTTCATTCTATATTATTTCTAGCGATGGGAACTATCGAATGAATTAGACTATCGAATGGTTAATGAATGAATGATTTCAACTATCGAATGGTTTTATTCGAATAAAATCATTCATTCATTTGTAAACTAAAGCATATGTGACAACCTCGCCGTGCGACTAAATGGTTATCGTTGAGCCACGACTATCGAATGCTTTTGATAAATGAAATTTAGTATTCGTTTGGATTTTGTATGCGTCAGTGCATTATTGGTTCTTCCAAATTTTTATAACTTCGCCGTATAAATACTGTGCTATTTTTGCGTTTATTAAAATAGTTAAAATACTAAAATAGTAGTTATTTTTTAATTTTATTTATTGACGATTGTGTGCATGTGCAGGTGGTCAAAATTTTTTCCGATAATTTGTGTGGTTTTCCGTAGTCCGATCTTTCAATTATTTCATTTTATATGGTATATGGTCTATTTTTTAATGGGAAATTTTGAGAAGTAGCAATTTTTAAGAGAGATGAGATGAACTTACAATTAATTTTAAAAATACATATTTGTATTTTAGATGTTTTAATAATACCTATGAATTAGTTGGAACTTAATAATTATATTTAAGTAATGTGGTTAAATAAATGGTTATCGAACTCAAACTATGGGGTGAGAAAATTAAAATGAAAATTTTACACCAATTTAAAAAAAAAGTTAACGATGTTTGTATTTTGTTTATGCTAATTCTCTTACATGTAGTTTTTTGCGAAGAAATATTTCATTTATTTTTTAAAGTAAATGCCAGTAAAAGTAAATATAATTTTTAAATAGTAATATAAAGCACCTAATATAAATAATTTTGATTTCTAATTTTTTATTTATATTTTCCTTCCATTACACCGCTTGCTTAGAAAATTAATAAATGTTTATATTTCATGATTTTAAAATTGTTGTTAATATAACAAATTAGTTCTGTAATTATTATTATTTAATAAACCAAGGTTGCCAAAAAAATTAGAGACTATATTATTTTTAAATAGGATCTAATATAAATAATTTTGACATCTAATTTGTTGTTTATATTTTGCTAATACTTAAAAAAAAATATTTATATTAAATGATTTTAAATTTTGTTGTTAATAGGTATAACAAATTATTACTGTTATTATTATTTATTAAACCAGTCTTTGCTTAAAAACATTAAAAATAATTTTCCTACATCCAAAATAACAAGTATTATTGCAGTGTAACAACAGAATATTAATAAAAAAATGCAGAATATATAGACATACTATCCGTAACTAAAGCCAAACAATAATATTCTTTGCTAATATCAACTCATACAAAAATATGGCAACAGCGCCCTTCATAGTGTATTTTCTGTGTAAATACTAGCACCTCAATAAAAAAAATAATGTGTCTTTATCTATATATGACTCCGCAAAAAATCAAAGATGCCGGCTTCTTTTATAGCATTGCCACCGACCGCTGTCTCGGAAAAAAACCTACGTCGCCGGGCGACAACTAAAATTCAGTTAATATTTTATTATAATCGATCCTGACGAATAAATGAATTTCATAAATGAATGAATTTTATAAATGAATGAATTTTATAAATGAATGAATTTTATAAATGAATGAATTTTATAAATGAATGAATTTTATAAATGAATGGTTTTTGCTGCCGAATTACTAGAATACAATATTTCAAGGCAGATGACGGATCTATTCGATAATTTTTATTCGAATAGTTTTCAACGAATGTTTTCTTACTAACTATCGAATTATTCGAATGAATTGCAACTATCGAATGTTTCGATAGTATTCATTCGATAGTTCCCACTACTAATTATTTCTGTTTTGTTTTATAATTGGTTTTATGCAATCTGGAAAACCATCAATCTATAAATTTGTTCAGTGTTAAATAATTACATATTATGTGTTTATTCTCGTATTTATTACTACTTGCCAAAAATAATTAAGATACATTAATTTTAATGAACTTTACTAATAAATTAGTAATATTTCGAATAAGATATATACAGGGCGGACAAGGTCTGGCTTTGGGTGCTGATTTTCATGTGTACGAATACAGTCAATGTCCAGTACAATAAGATGTATCGACCAAAGAACAGCAAGTACAATATGATCGAAAAAAAAACGGTGTCAGCGATGACTATGAAATGAAGATCGCTGTCATTTTATATATAAAATTATATGGGGAATATCAATGATCGTCATTTCTAAGCCAACCAGACGCCATTTTATTTTTCGATCATATTGTATTTTCCCAAACGCATAAAATATAGAGTCGGCTTAAGTGTTTATGTAATATATACTTAACATTTTTCTCTTTCCGACTTTTTCCATAGCAATTCACTCCTCAACATGTAAGAACCCACCTAAGCCGGTCTTTTACCGACATGGTATATATTTATTTCCATTAATAAATGATACAAAACTAATAGACTACAAATACAATATAAATAAAATTGCACAAAAAATAAGGAAAAAAGAATAGAATGTTAAAAAGTTAAAGATTTAAAAGTCTGTACAATGGGAGGTTCCATGACAGTCAGGGGCGGATACAGAAATTTATTTTAGGGGGGGCCCGGAATGTATTTTAGAGGGGCCCAAATAAAAGATAATGTAGAATATGCTTTTGGAGCGCCATTTGCCATTTTTAACCCAAAACCTAATATTTAACCCAATTTATACATTTTAGGGGGTCCTTGGCCCCATGGGCCCCCCTCTGTATCCGCCACTGATGACAGTGACAGTTATTATGTGTCGTTTTAATTCACAGGTAATTTATACTTTGTCATTTCTTGGATGTCGTCTGTCGAAATTTTGTGTGATTTTACATACCCCTACTTGTAATTCATGTAAAACCATGTTTTTCTAGATTTATATACTTCGAATAAAACCAATAATCAAATAAACACGAAATAGTATAAAATAAACATAGAAGAAGCCATTAAACTCGCAAAAATTTAAACTTGTCACGAGAATAATGTTATATACAAGACTAGTATTTGACCCCTGCTAGTCTTTTTAGTCAATATAAGCAAAATTTAATGTTTTTAGAGTAAAATTAACATACCTTTTGTTGGCTACCTCCAGCCTGAGTACCTTGGTCAACGGAAATGGACTTTCGAGAACCGATTGAGACAGGAGTAGTGCTGCGACTATTTGCTCCACCTCCAATCAAATCTAAAACAGAACCTACAAAACTGAGACCTCTAGAAGATCATAATAACCAATCGCTAATTGTGTGGAAAGCTTTTTTAGAATACTTTAACAATCAAATTTTAATGAGCATAAATCTCAGAAAAATAAATAAACCTAGAGGATATACCGGGTGCGTCTCAAAAGTGGCTCACCCTTATAACTTTTTTATTTTTTCAGAGACAAAAACGAGATTTGGTATGTTAGTATATGAATAAATTAGGATTGATTGACGTGTTCAATTATTTATGGTCAGTACCTGTTTCACAGGAAATTACTACAACTTTTGATTTTTAAATGGCACCCTCGGTATTTTTTTTACTTTATTACACCTTATTTTTTATTACCAGACACTTATTATTAATATATATTTCGAGTCAAAAGTCTTCCGTCTAAGGCCCGTTTCACAAAGGACCGATGATCAGGACGGACGCTCGGTCCTAGTTATTGTTCTATATGTATCGTTCACATGTACGCGTATCATCGGTCAACCGTTACAAAACCCGTTTCTTTTTGATTAATCTTTTCACACACAAAGCAACAACAACGCGAAGCTCTGTACTTCTCAAATAACATATTGACGACTGATGATACCCGTAACATGAAAACAACAATTTCGACCGATTATCGGTGGCGACCGATCATCAGCATTGATCATCGGTCCTTTCTGAAACGGGCCTAAAGGAGGGCGCGCACTGCATCGGATCAGACCGACCAGCAAAAGCGACTGCGACCATCGTACATATAGACGGCGCCGGCGTCCACTAAAACATTTCGGCCTGTAGAGGCTAGATTCCTACCTCTACCTATCTACGATAGTCGAGTCACCGCCTTCGCCGGACTGGTACTGATTCAGTGCGCGTACACCTTAAGAGCTCAAACGCACTGACGATCAGGTCGCAGAGACCAGCCAACGGCCAGGACGGTAGTGCGCGTTGCATCATTTGATTAGTGGCCGCTGGCTGATCGCTGCGACCTGGTCATCTTTGCGTTTGAGCCAGTAATCCCAATCTAGACATAACATCAGATAAGCCCACGGCCACACAGAAAGCGTTTTTAGCGTTTTGTGTTCATTAAAAACACGCAAAAGACGCGGCAGGTCTGCAGTTTCTATCAAGATGTCAATTAGTAACGTCGCAAGCTCGTGGATTCCCGGCCCGTCCAACAATCAAACCTGTGAGAAAGAGATAGGAGAGATCGGCGCCGTTAGCGTTGAAGAGACGAAGATAAAAGATGCTGGGATTGAATTGTGGACGGGCCGGGGCATATATTCGGAGACACAATCTAGTGCTAGTGCCAGTGGTGTGTGTAAAAATAATAATTAATATTTACCAATTATTTTAGGAATTTTAGTTTATAAGTGTATAGTTTTTTTATGTTGTAGTGTTGTGGTTAGTACTTGTTATAATTATAATATAATATAATAAATAATTATATGATTATATAATAGAATAGTAAATATTTCTAGTTGCTAATGCAATTTTAGGACATGATTTATGAAACATTTTGGAGTAACTTCTTTACGTGCGCTGGGGGTAAAAAATCAAGGCCGTGACATACGAGCTAGTGAGACGGCTTTGACACACGAGCACGTTGTAATGAAACGTGTTAACGGCTTAAAAATACGCAATGACGCGACGTGTATTTGTGAGCAGTCCACGTGTTTATCAAAAGTATTGATATTTTAATACAAGTTTTGTAAAAGCGAATCAAAATATTATGTGTAAAAAACATTTGTTACACGTAAAAAACTATTTTTATTATTTTACGCGAATAAAACTGTTACACGTAAAAACTATTTTTTACGCGTATAAAACTATTTGTTACTGGTAGAAAACTACTAACTTTATGCGTATTCAACTATTTGTTACATATAAAAATATATTTGTTGCACGTAAAAAAACTAATTTTTACGCGTCAAAAACTTATTGTTTCTAGTAAAAAACTCTTTTACCCAAAAAAATATTTTTTGCGCGTAAAAAAACTATTTGTTACACGTAAAAAGGTATTTTTTACGCGTCAAAAACTATTAGTTTCTGTTAAAAAACCTTTTTTACACAGAAAAAACACTTTTTACGCATAAAAAAACTATTTTTTACGCGTGAGAAAATATTCCTTTAATTTATTACTTTTTCAACATTTCAAACTACACGTTTTCAAACATTTCCTTCAAATTTTTGAATTTAATTGAATTTTCCTAGACAGTAGATGTTCTTTATAAAAATATTTTTAGATAATACCCTAAAATGAAAAAAATGCATACTATTTAATTTATTTTTATTGTATTATTAAATTATAACGTCTGCCTACGACGGGGTCTCATCTTAGAAAACGCTAAAGACGCTACAGAAAACAAACTGATTTGTTTTCATTTGCGTTTTTTGCGAGACACGCCGAACGCCACACGCTTTTGGTGTGGCCACTCCTATATAATTCCGTTATTTCGTTTTAGTCGCTAAAGACGTTTCACGCTAAAAACGTAAAAAACGCTTTCTGTGTGGCTGTGGGCTAAGATAGATAAAGACTAACGTACACACTGAATGTTTTACCTAAGGTTTTATAAACACGTGTAGCATTGTTTTTAGTGAATTTGAAAAGAAAACAAATTTATAAAATTGCATTATTTTGTAAAACTATGCAAAATAATAGATTTTTAAGTCACTTAGTAAAAATGGTGTAGTATATCCACATTATTTGTACATTGTAATGCAAGAAACTTACAATGCAAGAAAAAAATTGTTGTAAAACAATGATCCGTCATTTCTCTAAGTCTTCTGACCTAATTCACTTATAAAATGATGTTGTAATTGATACAAACCAATACTATTATATTTTAAAGCACCTCTATGTTTACTTATTTCTCAGAGATATAAATGATTCCCAGCAAAAAAAAACTTTACACCCATCAAGTAACTGAATATTTGAATCAAATTAAGCATTTATTTTGTTATAAAAACTGATTTACTATTTATTATTACCAATTAGTTTAAAAAATATGCTTAATTAAACACAATTGTTTTATTTTCAGTCACAGGATGTTCTAATGAAGCATCGTGAAATAACTGCATTACAGGGTAAAATCTAAATTAAAAGAATGCATGCACAAACAACTGTCTTAATCAACATTACCACCATCCATTGATATGCTAATCACTAAATGGTGTGACAACTATACTAACACCTATACCAATAATTTTTTTAATCATAAATAACTATTCTTCTAAAGTTGATAATAATTATTGTAAACAGGCAATTCATGGCAAATAATTTCTTTTAACCATAAAACGGTTGCATTCTTTTATATGCTGCACTTTACAGCATACTAATGTAAATATTTATGTTTAAATTCTGTTATCCGATAGATAAAATATGAAGCAATATTCACAGATGGAATATTCTTGTATAAACAGGATGTAAATAAAAAGTCAGAAAAAAATCAGAACGTGCTTTTATGAAAGAACCATAATATGTAATACTACCGCGAATATCTGCGAAACCGATAAGTTTTAAAATATTTTAAATACAAAAATTGATCATTTTGTAATTTTCCATCTAAGTGCAAGGTGTTCAGTATGTCCCCAGATTGTCTTTACAAGAGGAAAAAAACTTTTTTATTATTGACACACTTTGAGAAAAATGCATTCTTCATAAAAAATTTTGCTTGTTCTAAAATCTAAAATCCCGTTTACAATTTTTCAAATTTCCATTCCTTTTAGGAAAAAATTTAAAAAAACATGAAAATATAGTTTAATTTTTTCCTGAAGCCCTAAAAAATAAAAACGCGTTTCTATGGTAATATAATTTCGTTTTCATTCTTTGATAGATTTATATTTGATAGAATTTTAATGGACGTCGTATTTCTTGCTGTTTTAAAATGTTAAAGAAACACAAAATGTATACACATAACAGAAAAAAGGCTTCGGTGAACTATCCTGACACACGATTTTTCTTCGAAAATGAAGTTTATGTTACCTTAAAATGAATTTCTTGGAATCTTTGACTAAAATCTGATGCGGAAAAACACGTTTCACATAAAAAATATTCCTAAAAACGTTTTTATTTGATTTTTATAACAAAATCCAGGGGCGGGAAAGTGAAATAGCAAAAGCGGTTCCACCGTTTCCACGGAAATCTCAAATAAAATAGTTCCAGCCCTAGCCACTAGGTGGTAATGCAATTAATTTTTATGTTAAGAAGTTGCTAATAGTTATTGCCAGATGGCGTTAAATCAGAATTTTTTTGTAGTTTCCATAGTATCCAAAGGCCATTGTCATATTATTGTCAAATTCTCAAAAAATATTGTCGTTGTCATAGCGCCAATCATAATATTATCAAATAAATGATTATCAAAATGTTTTTCAAACTATAATTTGTTATATGTGTTCATAGATAAATGCAACAAGTTTAGATTGGAAAGCCCGTCAAAATTTTGGGCCGCGAAATTATTTTGGGTCGCGACCGTTATACGCGATCTGGCGCTGCTATAGCGGTCGCTAAGAACAACGGCAAACAAAAACAGAAATAATTTTCTCCTGTCAAAGACAGAATCTTCAAAAATCATAATAATCTTTCAAAATCTAAACCGCTCTCATTAAAGATATTCCGAAAAGTGTTTATAGCGTTCATTTTCAAAGTAATTATTGCTATCTTGTGAGTTTAATTCAAGTTTTATTTACTTCAACCGGTGATAATTGTGAAAAAGTGGCATTAAAAACTTAAAAAGCTGTGCTGTGAACTATGAACTGCAAAAACCATCGTGGATCGTGGCATAACGTCGGTTTCCAATGTTTCATAGGTATTTCATACATGCGTCCTTATATAAAATAAAGTTTCTTGTATGCAACACACTGTATTTTATTTATAAATAAACGAACGAAAATAATACTAAATTTGAATAAACAATATTTGGCGATACAATTCCGGAAAAAGGCGAATCGCTCCGAAATTTTCAAAACTTTTGAGTCGCGACCGTAACTTATTAGATAATGGCTTTTGTTTGTGGCCCTAAACATATCATAGAGTCTTTTATTTTTGCCATCATTTAAGTACCTATTTATATTTACTCCATTTTTTTAATTACGTTGGTCTTGTTTTATTATAATAAACGATGTTTAAATATTTGACTTATAAATAAAACTTTAAATAATAAATAATATTTCACATGTTTGGCTTTAATTTTATTTAATAATTGTGTAAATTATACTGTTAAATCTTAATTTTGACATATCACAACGATACTTGTTATTAGTATTGTTGAATTTGTGTAAAAAATATGATTTAATAATCAAATTTAATTATATATATTTTAGAGTAAAATTCAATAAATACGCTCATTTAAAAAGTCCGCGCTTCGATCCATTTATAACAAGCCCTACTCAATAGATGGCGCCACTTCAGTAGGACCATTTTTCAGTATGGCAGAGTCCATTCTTTTTCTAGCTAGGTATATTCTTTGACAAAATCCATAACCGATAATGAAAAAGTCGCGACTTATTTATACCCGTTTCTATGTCTACGCCAAAGAATATACCTAGTTAGAAAAAGAATGGACTCTGCCATACTGAAAAATGGTCCTACAGAAGTAGCGCCATCTACTGAGTAGGGCTTGTTTTAAATGGATCGAAGCGCGGGCTTTTTAAATGAGCGTATTTATTGAATTTTACTCTAAAATAATTAAATTTGATTATTAAATCTTATTTTTTACACAAATTCAACAATACTATATAATAACAAGTATCGTTGTGATGTATAAAAAATAAGATTTAACAGTATACTTTATTAAATTATTAAATAAAATTAAAGCCAAACATGTGTAAATATTATTTATTATTTAAAGTTTTCATTTATAAGTCAAATATTTAAACATCGTTTATTATAATAAAAGAAGACCAACGTAATACGCCCAAAGTTATGTAAATGGAGTAAATATAAATAGATACTTATATGATGGCAAAAATAAAAGATTTACATTATATTTTTAGGGCCACAAACAAAAGGAATTGTCTAATTAAAACACAGATAACAAATTATAGTTTGAAAAACGTTTTGATAATCATTTGATAATATTATGATTGGCGCTATGACAACGACAATATTTTTTGAGAATTTGACAATAGTATGACAATGGCCGTTGGAAACTATGGAAACTACAAAAAAATTCTGATTTAACGCCATCTGGCAATAACTAGGAGCAACTTCTTAACCTAAAAATTAATTGCACCACCACCTAGCGCCTGAGGCTGGAACTATTTTATTTGAAATTTCCGTGGAAACGGTGGAACCGCTTTTGCTATTTCACTTTCCCGCCCCTGGTCTACGCTATCTATGGTCTACGCTGACAGTAGTATATATGACGTTAACTCATAGATAAATGAAACAAGTTTAGATTGGAAAGTGCCCATAAGGACAATGTAAATATTAGTTGGCGCTATTCTTGCAACGGTCGCGACCCAAAACTTTTGATAATTTTGGAGCGGTTAATAATTTTTCGGCTTTTTCCGGAATTATGTCGCCAAAGATTACTTATTCAAAAATAAAATATAGCGTGTTGCATAAAAGAAACTTTATTTTATATAAGGACATGTATGAAATAAATACCTATGAAACATTGGAAATCAACATTATACAATGATCCAAGATAGTTTTTGTAGTTCTCAGTTCACTACACAACTTTTTAAGTTCCTAATGTCACTTTTTCACAATTATCACGGGTTTGAGTAAATAAAATTTATATTAAATTCACAAGATATCAATAATTACTTTGAAAATGGATGCTTTCACTTTTTGGAATTTTTTCAATGAAAGCGGTTTAAATTTTGAAAGATCTTATGACTTTTGAAGATTCTGACTTTGACAAGAGAAAATTATTCTATGAAATTATTTCTGTTCTTGTTAGAGCGGTTGCTTTTAGCAACCGCTATAGCAGCGCCAGATCGCGTGCAATTCGTGACCCAAAACAATTATATATTTTGATGGGCATTCCAATCTAAATTTATTTCCTTTATCTCCTCGTTTATCTCTATGCGTTAATTAAAATTAATAATAACTGTCTGTCAAAGAATGAAGTCGAAATGCTATTACCATAGAAACACCTTTTGATTTTTAGGACTTTCTTCAAAGGAAAATTCAACGGTATTTTCATGGGTTTTTCAATTTTCTCTAAAACAGTATGGAAATTTGCAAAAGTATGAACGAGATTAAGCATTTTAGAATTTTTTTATTAAAAATACATTTCCTCAAAATGTGAATAATAAAAAATTGTTTCCTCTTGTAAAGACAAACCGGGGACATACTGTATTTAAAAAAAAAAACGTAGATTATCACGTTAGCTATTATTAAAAATGAAGAAAATAGAGGATTAGACTTTAGAGTATTAAAAAATGATAATATTGTAATCAAATTTTATGTCAGAGAAACAATTATAGCAAAAAATTTCTAGATTTTACCAAAAATACATTTTAACACCAATAAGTAAGCTAATGATTATTAAAAATGAAGAAAAATAGAGTATTTTAGACTTTAGAGTAATAAAAAATAATAATAATAAAAATTTTATGTTGGTGATACCATTATAGCAAAAAATTTCATTGCTAGATTTTACCAAAAATATTATCGGTCTACAAACAAAACACACTTAAGTTTAAAAAGAATAATTTTTAATGATAAAATATAACGCCATTAGGACTTAATGAATATGAAAATAATTTAAAAATGAAACTTGTAATTCGTAGTAGACTTTTCCAGCTCTACTGGGTGTTTGTGAGTAAGTGTCCAATATTTTACAGGGTCATTTTTCAAGTATTTTTAAGACAGTATGAAAAGAAATTCTTAAAAATTTGACACCGTATATCTTGAAAAGAAAGCATTTTTGAACACTTGCTTATATGAACATTTTAGCTTAAAAATACTTGAAACCACCCTGTGAAATATCGTACACTTATTCAGAAACACCCTATAAATTGTGGAAAAAATCTAGTTAATTATAACAGGACTTGGTGTATTTTGCTTGTAGGAATATGATAAATAAAATGATTCTTTAATGTAAAACACCAATAAATGTATGCTAATGATGAATAAAAATGAGAAAAATACAAATCTTTCTACTCACTCTACCGCAAGCCTATATTAAGCAGTCAAGGACAAGCAGCAACAGAAAAAAAATAAAATTAAAAAACAATTTTTACCGGGGTGCTCGATAGGCCTCGTCTGATCGCCCGCAGAAGGAGGAGGGGGCGACAATATCGAAGGGGGCGCGAACCCCACGTCGGGAGGGGGCCCCCCTGTAGTTGGAATTATCAACTCACTTGGCTTTGAACCGGGCGGCGGTCCTACCCTGCTCATTCCCACAGCTTGCAGTCCTGGGGCCGCGTTGGCAGTCAGTCCACCCATGGGCAGAAAAGTTCCATAAGGGTTGTGCCCCATGTGCCCCAATATGGGGTGTTGCTGGAACGGCTGAGGTCCCGCCAAGCTCGGCGGCACCGATAACTGCATGATCGCGGGGTCATTTAGAGGCTGGGGGTGTGGATTCTCCACTATTCGAATGTCCTTGATGTCGGAACCTCGAAACAGTATGTATTCATATACTTGGTTTTGAGCGGGAATAGGACATGGCGTTTCTCTATCTTCAGTTCCAAACGAACGTACTAAAAATATTATAAAATTTCAAATCAATACAAAACACGAGGTGTAATACAAGAATTAAAATTTAAGAATTTTTTATGAGAGTTTATTACATATTTCATAATAATATTTAATTTCATTATATTGTCATTATCTTCCTATAAACCTCCCTATAATCCCTAATAATTTTCCTATAAAGTTTCGCGGTATACCAGTTTCCCTATAGACCTTAACTTTCTTATAAAATTATAACCAGTTAGAAGATGTAAATTTATAAAATATTAAAAAATAGAGAATAGTATAATTGTAGGATTTGGTTATATGGTAAAAAAATAGTTTAGATCATTTATGAGCACAAAAAAACAGGTGTTTTTTCTGCTCTCAATATACTTATCACTTTTTTGTTTATGAATGAAATTCCTGAAAGAATCCGTTTTAATTCAGCCCTTTAAATACAAAATTGAGAAAGTTTAGGTAGTTTTCATGATTTATTAAAATAGAATAGAATATTAGAAATTGCAAATTTTCAGTTGTTTATTTCCATTATTTACCAAATCAAATATAAAGTTCACTTTACCGAAACTGCTTATAAAGCAATTTAATCGAATAGTAGACGTGTAATATATGTTTAAAGGGACAATTTAATAGATCTAACAAGCAAATACAATTATAAATAGGTAAATATTGAACTCACCGGACGCCAAAGCTATTGTACATTCTTGAGGATCGACGGTGAATAATCTTCCTTCATATCGGATATCTGCCTTCGATACCAGACTTATTTTGGAGCCCAATTCTGGCATTCCACTCGTCATCTTTATTGGAAGGACTTAAATCTATGATGACCAAGGTATTAAGTGATTCTTTTGAAGAATCACATAAATTTGAGACAAAAATCTACGAAAATGGCGTATCTCGATCAGCTGTCAGATTGACAACTATGACTTGCATTCACGCCTACCAAAATTGCACAATTAAGATTTTAACCATTTCGGGACTACCATCTTTATGTTTTTATAGCTCATGATATTTACCTACTTTATTACTGTAAATATATTTAATTTGGGTATACTTTAATTTTGATTCCATTTATTCTGATATAAATATTCAAATTTCAGCTTAAATATTAGTATAAAAATATATATTTAGTATTTCTCGTTTGGTAACATTGAAAATAATTTCCAAAATTGCCACTGCCACCATGCTGCCATTCTTCAACTGAAAAATCACTAGAAATCAGAAGCACATCTCGTCATGCATCTCGTTACGTAAATGTCAAAAAGCTGAAAAAATCTTCGATTTTTCCTTCGAGTGAAGAATTGTCGAAGATCTTTTTAACTTTAAGTACAAGTTTCTATGAATTCCGTAAGTACTAACCAAGGGATTTAAAGTTACGTAACGTTGCCGGTGTTCACTCTCCTGTATAACATGGCTGCCACAGTTGGACGAGTCTGCGGTGCTGGACTTTTAAAATCGAAAACAGGGCCTTGTTTGAGTCAGGTAATGCATATCCTTTTTACGATAGTTCATTGTTATCATACGAGTCGATTATTTAATACATAACACCGGAATATCGATCTGGGTTTAAGTTCATTCAAAAGTTCACCCAGTTATGTCATTAAGTTCCATATTATCTAAAAAAAGGACTTTTTTTTGTAGATAAGCTCCTATTCCACGACGAGAGAATGGTCGAGAGGCAAAAAAGCAGTATGTATTTTTCTATTTACTTAACGAATTACTATATACAACATTATTTTTCTTCCTGTACACTAAAGACAAAAATAATTGAAGGTCAATAGTCCATGATAATGAGGTACCTTAGTTGTAATGTTCAGTTTATCATATTTTAGCTTTTGGGAAGTTTAGGTGTAATTGCTGGGGGAGCCGGAGCCTTAATCATAGCTCTGGATAAGTCAGTACGAGCTTCAGAACTCATACTGCATCCTCCCAAGAATCCATGGAGTCATAACGGCTGGTTCAATGGTTTAGATCATGCGAGGTACTTTAGATAACATGCTAAATAGAAAAAGATACTTCAAATAACATGCTAAATGAACTATTTCAACAATTTTCTCTTAATCATTGTAGTGTGAGACGTGGTTATGAAGTTTATAAACAAGTATGTGCTGCGTGTCACTCTTTACGTTATGTTGCTTACCGTGACTTGGTTGGTGTTACACACACTGAAGAAGAGGCTAAAGCTGAAGCTGAGGAACAGTTAGTGACAGATGGCCCAGATGAGGCAGGAAATATGGTAACTATCCCTTCTCTCTTAATTTTAACTCTATCATTTGATTTCATTGTTATTTAACTTGTAGTTCCAAAGGCCAGGAAAGTTGTCAGACTACTTCCCTAGTCCTTATCCTAATGAAGAAGCAGCCAGGGCAGCCAATAACGGTGCTTTTCCCCCAGATTTGTCTTACATTGTACCTGCCAGACATGGAGGTATATAAATTAGTTATATTAGGGTATCTAAGTCATATTTTATTGTATTTTTGGTATTCTTCAGGTGAAGATTATATATTTGCTCTACTTACTGGATATTATGATGCTCCAGCGGGTGTTGTTTTGAGAGAAGGTCAATACTACAATCCCTATTTCCCTGGCGGTGCTATTTCTATGGCACAAGCTTTATACAATGAAGTTATAGAATATGCTGATGGTACTCCAGCCACTGCCAGTCAACTAGCTAAGGTAATATTTCTAATACAAGTTAATTTATGTTTGACATTTTTGAGATCAAAACAAATTAAACTACATACAACTACAAGAAGACATAATACGCATATTTTGTAAAATTTATTAACTGTTTACAGAATATATTATATTCTGTTAAAAACTTACATAATAAGCACATTCTGTAAAATTTATATTTATTTACAGAACATATTTTTTTTAGTTTCCAGAATATATAATATTCTGTAAACAGATTATATAAAGAATATATTATTCTATACACTGTTTATATCTACCTACCTTCTTTAATCTTTCTCTAGACAGATCTTTTGACATTTTTGATCAGAATAATAAATAAAACTACATATGTCCCCAGATTGTCTTTACAAAGAGATAAACCTTTTCATTATTAACTTTTTGAGAAAAATGCATATTTTGTAGAAGTTTTTTCTTGCTCTCAAATGGTTTAATCCTGTTTATATACTTTTCCAAATTTCCATACTGTTTTAGAGGAAAATAAAAAAAATAAAATATAGTTGAAATCCCAAAAATAAAATTTGCATTTTTAGTTCTTTGATAGATGGCTATTATTAATTTTGATTAACGTTTTTTATAAAGATTTGTTAACAAAGTATACTCACTTTTTCCGTATCATTGAACTAAATAAATTTTGTGCTTCTTTAACATAAACAGCAAAAATTTACGACGTTATCAAACGACGCTATCTATCAGAGAATGAAAACAAAATGATACAACATAGAGAAACACTATTTGAATTCTTTGAATTAGAAAAATTCAACTATATTTTCATATTTTTAATTTCAGTCCAAAATGGCATGCAAATTTGGAAAAGTTTAAACAGGAATAACCATTTTAGACCAAACAAATTTTTGATGTAGAATGTTTAGGAGGGGAGTTAATCACCGCGACCTTATAGATCTATAGTCTGTCCAACGAGAAGATCCTTGACAGTGATAGATTTCTCTGTCATTTTAATTTCAAAGTAGTTTATTTTATTTTACAAAGAAATAAGTTGGTACAACTGGAACGCATAGCAGGAAATTAATATATTTAAAATTTGACTGACAAGTGATTACTTCAAAATATTGTGAAAAAAACTGTATAAAACTGAAAAAGTATAATCGAGTTATATTATTTAATAAAAAACGGTATGTGTTAATACAAAACAACATGAACAAGACACCACATACAAAAAAATATAAAAAAGAACTCTTTCTTACTTTCAAGCTTTATGAAACTTCCCGCATTTATGATTATATTTATCAATATAATTTATGTTCAAATATCGACACCTTCAGTCAGATCAGGGGCTTGGAACACCCTCAAAAAGGAAATACCACTCCTGCAACTCCCAGTGGACGATATGCCAAGAACGTACAACTTTGACAAACATGTCAATGTAGTATTGAGCAATAAGAAGGATTGGAAGAGCGAAACGCTTGCCCAGCAGTTAAAAGACCATACCATAACTTGGTATACTGATGCTTCCAAAACCAATACGGGAAGAGGGATCGGAGTGTTGGGCCGAGAGCTAATTACTCCGAACCAATGGGCACTTACCCTAGTATCCTACAGGCAGAAATCTACGCTATCGAGAGATGCGTACAACTTATCTTAGATAGGAACTATCGGAAACAAGAAATAGCCATCTTATCTGATAGTCAAGCAGCGTTAAAGGCGATCAACTCAGTCTCAATCAATTCGAAATTGGTCAAAGAATACATAGAGAAGCTGAATAAATTAGGCAAAGAAAACAAAGTCCTCCTACACTGGGTGCCTGCTCACCAAGGGATAAAAGGCAATGAAAAAGCAAATAATCTAGGTAGAAAAGGAGCGAACACTCCACTAACTGGACCAGAACCGTTCTGCTTTCCAAGTGGTAACCAACTCAAGGAGGAACTCAAGAACTTGGAAGATTCCATCCGCAACCTGGAATGGAAATCTTGCAATGGTCTAGGACACTCGAAGAAGTTTCTGAGGGCTTATGATCAATAAAAATCACAGATCTTCCTAGGTCTGAGTAAGAACAATCTTCGGATTGTCACACGGGGTTTTTAACAGGGCACTGTCTCCTCAATGAACACCTCAGTAGATTGAAACTAAGAAGAAACGGCGAATGCAGATTCTGTGGGGAAGATGGTGAAACACCAGTACACCTCATCACTGAGTGCCGAGACGACAACCATTCGTGCCATGAACTTTGGTACGACTGATATTGGAGATGGAGAACTACCCTCTATAAAACCGTCCCAGATACTGGCTTTTGTCAAAGCCCTGGGACTGTATGATGAGTTATGATTCAAGAAAGGGGGACACAATGGATCTGTAAGGTCGAAGTGATTAACCCCCCTCCCACTCATTCTAAATTCTAAATTCTCTATGTTCAAATACAAATTTGTAATATTCCACAGGAATAAATAAAACAACATAAATAAAACAAACTATTTTATTAATAATAACACTACCAAATTTTATACCTCAAAGGTTGATTAATTAACTTTACTCTTAATTTTTTTTAAACCAGTACCTTTTGACATTATTTTTCTGCAGTACTAAAATCCTTTATTTACCTATCGTGTGATGTCGATATTTACAGCTACTCCAGTTTTTAGTATGTGTTTAGTATGGTCCTTCTACCATATTCGAGATGCACTTATCTACGACGAGATGGTATACGAACTTTATTGATGGTAACTTTATTGGTGTATAAGACTTTCTGCCTGGGCAGCGAGTATTAACCATAAACTGTGCTCTGGGTCTACATTTAATTTTCACTCGATTTTTCCTCCACTTGACTTCAAAAGACACAAAACACACGTAATAATACGAAAGTGCATCATTTTCCAAAACGCAGGGTATTTGACAAAAGTTCTTTCTTTCTTTCTTTCTTTCTTAAATCAGTGAAAAACAATCTTCGGATTGTTACGGGGTTTCTAACAGGACACTGTCTCCTCAACGAACACCTCAGTAGGCTGAAGCTGAGAAACAACGGCGAATGCAGATTTTGTGGGTTAAATGGGGAAACACCAGAACACCTTATCACTGAGTGCGGTTTATGAAGAAAAGAATACTCTTTTCTCAAAAAGTTAATAATAAAAGTTTTCCGCTTGCAAAGACAATCTGGTGACATCATGAAATAAAATCCTACAATTAATTCAGCACAAATTTTATGATTTATTGTTATCCTTAATCCATTTTAGTAAGTGTAAAAAGTGCTAAAAATTAGATTTTCTTGTCTTTATAGGACATAGGAACGTTCTTAAAATGGACCGCCGAGCCTGAATTAGAAGACCGAAAAATAATGACGATTCGGGCCATTGGTATATTCTCCATATTGATTGTTCTGAGTTACTACGCCAAGCGATTCAAGTTCGCTTCATTGAAAACGAGAAAGATCGAGTTCAAAACTAAAGAGAAAAAATAAGGAGGGCTCTCGTAAGATGGGACATTTTTCAGCAGCGTGACCAGTTAGCCAATTAAATATTTTTAAAATATTTTAAGTATAACTTTATTAAATGTATATATTATTATCAATGGATTGTCCAGTCAGTGAAGTACCGTGGGATTTTTTCGTCCTTACCAGTTTTATTTGGCCTCGTGTAATTTATATTTAATTTGTACACTACATCAGTCGGATGTGTCACGTTATTTGTTAATTAAAATATAAAATTGAAAGAGTGTTTTTTTATCACCCTGTAGCTAAAGTGTTTTTTTTTTTTCGACAAAAAGGAATAGAAAATTGGTAGGGGTACATTTGATCTATTCATCTATAATTTATAATTTGAACTAATAATAGAATTGAACATAACTTCTATCTAGTGATTATGGTATACTACTACAGAACAGAACAGTATCTGTTCTGTGATACTACCCTCCATCACAAACTAGCTACAGCAGATGCGAAAGAAAGCGACTGCATCGGAAACCGCTCGGCAAACCCCACACGCCTATTGAGTGGTGTAAATACACCAGTCGTTTAGTCCGGAAACCTATGCTGTGTCGTATTCGCTTGCTGGAATGACATAGTGCGTGGTTATATGTTTCTTTTTAAAAACGGGTGTAGGATTTTTGTTGAACTTTTGAACTGTTATTTCTAAGTTTTGGTAATTTGTATATCTTATTTAAAATGGGATACAAATGTGTTTATTTATAAGGAAAAAAAAGATATTTATAGTATAAAAAATTAATTTATGTAACAAAATTTAATTAAAAATGTGACAAAATAGTACCTTTCTATTGGTTCTATCGGACTTTTTTCGACTATATAAATCTTTATTTGTAAACTTTAATACGTCAAATATTTTCAATCTAATAAATCATTTAATGATGTAAATAAGAGGAAATTTCTCACATGGGTGGTCAAATTCTATAGTTTTCATTATATCAAACAGCCCCTGAGAAATGTATTCAACTCAAAATGCCTTTAATTATGTTTAACTACATCAATTAAAAAGGTCTTCAAATACATCAATGTGATATTTGTCTAAAATTTGCAAAAGAATCCGAATCTCTGGATAACTCGAAATTATTTACCCATTTAAAAGCCTTTGATCATGAAAGTGAAAAAATATGTTCATTTTATTTACTGGAAATGGAAAAATTATTTATATTAAATTTTGATGAGTTTTGCACTGAAGAAAACATTCAGAAGCTGTTTGATATAATGAAAACTATAGAATTTGACCACCCATGTGAGAAATTTCCTCTTATTTACATCATTAAATTATTTATTAGATTGAAAATATTTTATGCATTAAAGATTAAAGTTTACAAAAAATAAAGATTTATATAGTCGAAAAAAGTCCGATAGAACCAATAGAAAAGTAACTATTTTGTCACATCTTTAATTAAATTTTGTTAAATAAATTAATTTTTTATACTATAAATATCTTTTTTTTTCTAATCTCCTACGAACGATATATGACGAGCAATCTATTAAATTACTGAGAGATTATATGCCTCGATAACATATTGGTGCAAATTATTTTCACCCAAACAAATAATAACCCAAACTATACATTGATGCGGATTGTCTATGAACTCTTTCTGAAGGTCACAGAAACTTTCGCATATGTTATAGGTAATTTGTGCCTCCATCTTCTACGTAAACTATAATAACCAGAATCTCTTGATAAGTCTGGGTTTTTGGTCAGTAGCAAAAAAACTACAAAATAAAAAGGTTATTTTATGTAAACCACATCGGAGTAGCGATCACAAAAAATGACTTATTTCTTAGTAGGTTCTCTTCCAGTTAAGGAAAAATAGAATTTATTTCAAGAAATGAACCCGCCATAAAGGTATAGACATAATTTAATATACCATGTAAATTTTTAACTGTTCAAATATTAGCTCCCCTACTGATTTTACAACGAAGACGTATAGGTTTTTAATGGTCTGGATATGCTGAAAACACATACCAAAAAAATGTCTATACTATGTGGCGGATACCAAATTTGAACAATTTTGGGCAGGCCGTTTTTAACTTGTTTAAGAAAAACTACATCTATTTTTAAATTAAAACTGAACAGGTAACAATAGGAGCCAATATTTGGACAGTTCAAAATTACAGTTGGGGGTTGGAATATTTGGTGTTACACAGCAAAATCAAACACTAACGGCCGTATTCATATTCGAGCGCCAGCCGCCCGCCGAAAAGAAGCGCTCGCCGAAGATTTCTCCGGCGAGCGTTTCGATATCGGGAGAGAAAAGAGCTCTTTCATGGTCAGCCGCCAGCGCACCGCTGGCGAAAATGAGAAGTGTCTAGTCCTAGCCGTCAATTATTAAGCTTGACCAATCAGGTTGGTTAGCGTGGTTATTTGGAGTGTGTTAATTCATTTGTGTTTGTCAAAAACTCTAACGTGATTGGTCGGGCTTAAGAGTTGCCTGCTAGGGCTAGACACAAGTCGAAAACGACGGCGCGTGCCGACAAGATTTCACTTCGGGTGGAGGTTTTTAACAACAGAGAACATTTTTTCTTACTTTTTCTACACAAAATCGGTTAGATGAACTAGGGTAATTTAAATATTTTATTGATGTGTCCATTAGTTTGTTATAATTCGTTTTCAAGTAATGAATAATATCTTCGTATATCTTCACTTATAGTAAAAAGATTTACAATTTTTATATACATATTTTTTTGGTTAGGTAGGTATATTTTTGGGTCATAATAAAAAGGGTATTAAGTTAATAATTTATATAATGGGGAATTCCGTAGGTCTGTTCGGTTATTTGAAAGTTTTATGGATTCGTTTTTATTATGTTTATAAATTTTTATAGACCTTAACCTATTGGTGCTGTGTTAAGGATTTTAAAATTATTTTAAGGGAAAATGTGACTATTGTAGAAGTAATTTATATTTTTAAATTGGCTGTATTTTTGTTTTGTGTAGATGACTGATGTATTGTGAATTTGGTATATTTTTTCCAGTTTATGTAAATTACAAAGAGAATTAATGTAATAAACGTAAAAACAATAGGAAAAATAAAAAATTGTAAACATAACAAAAACAAAACAATAAAATATTTAAATGATCAAATAGACGAACGGAATTCATATGCCTCAAATGTACTGAATAATTGCCTCAAAAATACGAATGTCATCGTTCTCGTCGATTTCTGCATTTAATCCTACAATATTATAAATATCCATAATTATAGTAGAGGTGTTTTACTGTTTTATCTTTAGGATTACCTAATAATTGTTGTAATTTATTATTACCACTATACACAAGTTTATAATTATTGACATTCTTAAAAATTATTTTTAAACCACGGGATGGCTCTCTATCAAACGGCATTGAAAAATAGTTTGACATATTTCCACTTGAATATTGAAAAATATTTTGACATTTCCACTTGAAAAGTCGAATTTTCAGCAATCGCAAACTTATACCTACGTTTTCTAATTATTTTATCAACTAATGAAGAAGCATATCTATTACACTCAGCTACATTCCTAATGTAATTTCTTTCTATAATATAGTATTTTTTATAATATATTATAGATAATTACAGGCATATGAGAGCGTCAAAATTAATAAATGTAAAGATAGTATGAACAGAGACAATCGCCTAACTCCTTCCAGTTCTCTGTTACTACTCTCTAGTTTCTGTAACTAATTGTTACGCTCGGTTGGTTAGTTTGTGCCACGGCCACTCAGAACCAACTGAGCGAGTATATAAACGCTCAATTTATAGATATAAGTTTAGTTTTAATCATCTCCTGATGATGCTAACATGGTTAGCGAAACGCGCGTCCAGTGTAAAAGTAAAAGTGTTTTGGTGTATTGTGGTGATTTAGTGTTTTATTTTGCAGTTTAAAATTTGCATGGGATTTCGTATGTTTTCAACGCCGATGCACTATCCGATATACAACTACTGTTTAGTTGTTTAGAGTATAAAAATAGTTTTAGCAGCATTTAAAAGAACAATAGAAATATAATTTATTCAAATAATTTAAAAGATATTTACAATTAATTTAAATTTAGTTTCGCTCTTTTACTTAGACCACCCTATCAGAACACCCTGTTCAGTGAAAGTGACCCAAGTGATAGTGACAGTCGATGTCTGCCATTTTAATTCACAGGTAAATTGAATTTTCTGGCATTTTTTGGATGTCATCTGTCCAAATCTTCCTAGACTCGTCGGAGAGACTTTCTAATAAAATACCCAACAGTTGTTTGTTTAAATGTCAAATTAAATATAACAGAAAATACTTGTATATTCCTAATTATTTATTAAACAAAACTCTGAGGCACAAAGCAATAAAAACAAAATATAAAAAGTATAATACAGGTAGCAGTAGCTTATTAGTATTATTGTGTAAAGGTAACTATCCAAAACAAAAAATAATAAATATGAATTTTATTTTATTTTTTGTGGAATGCACTAAAATTGAAACCAAGTTAATTAGGCGCATTTAGTTCTATAATAGTAGCAGAAAACATATAAACTTGTATATTTAAAAAAATCACAACCTTCGGAGTGCGAGTCAAAACATACTAAAAATAAAATTTAATTTATTTTTAGTAAATTATGAATATAAAGCGGAAGATAAGTTTTTATGTATGTACAATAGTTCTTGCATATATATGTTATCACTCAAATTATACATTAGTAATAAAATTAAATATAACCACCTATATTTTATGCAAATATATATCAAAAAACGAGTAGTAGTAATAGCAGTATTATTGGAAGATTTTCATATAAACAGCGAAACAACATCGAATTAAATAAAATATAAAAATCGTTATCACAAGACTTGTTACACTGACAAAAACAAAACATCTAATTATTATAAAATGGTTATATAAAGATTACTAGTAGCATTATAAATAACAAGTTTTTTATATAAAAAAACCTAATTAAAGACCAATAAGAATCTTCAAAATTCTTAAAAGCGAGAAGACATGTCAAAAATAGCTTATATTATTGATTAATCTTTATTAACTTTACTGATTAATCTAATCTTTTTAATTAACTGTATGAAAATTTATCAGTTTGATTTAATATCTTCTTAATTCATTTTCTTAAATTTTAATATGAAAACGGAAAAATGCCCTACTTCTACTGTACTAATCTAAAAAAAGTAACTAAAAAATTTCAGTCTGTGTATTTCTCACATAAAATAGTATGTGCTCAAAAACTTATTCAATTTGATATAATATATCAATATTTGACAAATACATAATATCTATTTATTAGAGGCACTGATTATATTTTATTCTTCTTAATATTAATAACAAGCTTATTATTTCGTCGTACAGTGTGATCAAATGACATCGCGATAGGCTCATAGTGAGTTATTTGAAGTGTCTGTTTCATGTTAAAACAAAAATGATCAGCCGTCATTGTCAATCAGCAACAATTGACATAACCTCAGACTGTAAAATTCGACGTTTTTATTCGACCATACTGTATACATATTTTCATTAAAAAGTGTTACAAGCTTTAGCATTATTTCTTCTATCTGCATGATTATGAGTCTGTAAAAAGTAAAATGGTGGTTAATAGACACTATATTTAGGTATTGAATATATACAATACTGTATTAAATTTGAATTGAAAGAGGAAATAGTCAAGTAAACTTAGTTCTTTATAAAACTATTCTATATATATATATATATATATATATATATATATATATATATATATATATATATATATATATATATATATATATATATATATATAATATACTGATGTAGTATTTTATAAGAAAAAAGTATATATTTTTTACTAAAATAGTGCCTATCCTTTTGATCCTATAGAACAGTGCATGTCGCTCTAAAACTAGGTATATATAATAAAAATTTTGAAATTTACGCACAGGCCACCCTGTATAATATCTATCTTTAGTTAGCTTAAGCTTTTAGGAAACTATACATTCACAACTCCTGTTTTATATTTTCTTTTTCGACCTTTTTTTTTAATTTATCGATAATACTGTTACGATTTTGACATAAAAAAAAATCCAAAAAAGGGTATATACAGAGTGGACAAATTTTCATAAACCTATAAACAGGATGTTTCCTACGAATATACTTTGTCTCATAACATATTTATATTATATATGAAACCACCGTATATATGAAATCAAAATTTGCCCACTCTGTATATTGAAAGGTCGACATATCAGTACATTTTTTCGGAAGCCGAAGATTTTCGATTACATTATAATTATTTTATAGTTCTTCTTACCAAAAATAATTTTCTTTATTCTGTGTATGTTTATGAACCAAAGAAAAATAGTATATAAAAAATATTTTAATGTATGGTGTCCAGATATGTCTTTTTTATTTCAGGTTTTTGACCATCGAAGAAAAATATAAACGTAAATTTATGGATTTTTGTTTTAAAAAATTAAACATAAAATCACAAAATATCACAAAATCAATTTTGGAAAACAGCGTTTAACCTTTTTTTTTCCTTGTCCTTATGGAAATTCTAAATCACGAATTCTTATAACGAAAGAAAGAAATATTGTTGATGAAATATAGATTGTGGGTTAAAATCATCAGGTATTTAAAAGTTAACTAGATTTTTTTATTAAAAATATACTTAAAAGATAAAAGAATAAAATAAGAATACTTTAGTTCATTCTTAAAATTTAACAGAAATCAATTTTGATAAAGTATAGTATTCCTTAACTGTAAGATCAAAAATTGTGTTGGAAAAAATAAATCATATACATATTCATACATTTTTCAAAATTTTAAAAAATACATTAATTATAAAAATATACAAACAGTAAAGAGATATTAGTACTATCAATAGCGTCACGCAGTAGTACCACCCAGCGAAAATTATGATACTGACACTAGTTATTTCTAATTTATATAATTATATAATTAATAATAAATAATATTATATATATATATATATATATATATATATATATATATATATATATATATATATATATATATATATATATATATATATATATATATATATATATATATATATATATATATTCAAACAGGTGTCTTGGGGATGCAGTCTAATAAGAAGGCCGTTAGTTCAAGGAAAAACCCTTTATTGTTTAGTCAAGCTTTCGAGAATTCAGTTGTTCTCTTCTTCAGGACTCTTCTACAATTATAGTAATTAAATACAATTTCTATTCTGTAAAAAACTATTAAAATGCAACTCACCAAAGTGGGATTATGGTAAAGTTTACAACATTGCTCAACAATCAAAAGAATCCTCATTTCTCAAATGCAGTAGTAAAAATCAACTTTTAAAATACACGTGAAAACTAACTACAAAAACTTTATAAAAAAACAATACAACGTGTATGTGAGTACAAAGTCAAAGCACGAAAATTGCATGTCAAAAATCTTAAAATAAAATAGCAATTAACGGTGCTTGTCAGATATAACACCCTCCGAATTTTGTACTTTTTTTTATATCACTCGAAAGCATACATCGAAATAAGTATTTCAAGCCAAAAAAAAGTGTGGATGATCCAGGAACTTAAGCAAATAATTAGAACTATCAATTTTTAATATATATATTTTTTTTTGAGCAAATGCATATTCAAAAAATATTTAAGACAAACATAAACTGTACATATTTAATAGGGAACTAATAAGAATAGTTGATAACGTAAATGTTATTCTGTTTTAGATATTAAAGATAGGAATAAAATATAGTACTTACTCTTTAATTTCTCATGAATTTTGTATCACACCTGCCGATACCACAATCAACACTAAGAAGTCGAAGGAAGAAATGAGTTGCTGTCTGGAAACACGTACCAACCACACCAGTGAGATGAAACTTTCCAGCATCACAAGCTCTGTTCAGTTGAGCAAATGTTAAACACGCCGCTCGCCTTTTTGCCTCGAATTCTAATGGATTGAGATGTATGGAATTTTTGGATACGGATATGGAAGCAATAACCAGCCTGGAGAAAAACTAATTTGGTTGGTTGAAGTAACAAGCCACTGAACCCATAATACCGCAGAGAAGCCAGAAACCAAGAAATATTAACAAGTAAATTTTGTTTTGGCTCGAATGAAAACAGTACCAACTAACGAAAAGAAGAAAATAATTGTCCAGTATTCCGCTGATCCCAGCAAATTTAAAGCGCCGTCGCCCGTTTGACATTGAAACCAAGCGCACGGACGAACAGAAGTATACAATGAATAAGAAGGCAACCAGTCAAACAAAGGCAAAGGCAGTGCTGGCGTGTGCATTACTTAACTGATATGAGCTAGGTTAAAGCTTGAAGCTTATGGTATTGTTGAAACGGACGCAACGCACCAGGATGCCAGGAGACATATTTTCAGTACGGGTGGTATCGCGTAGGACCTTTTGTTTGTACGGGATTAAAGAGTAAATGATAAAAATATATATTTTTTATTTTTTATTTTGATGAGTCGCAAGAAAATCTTAATTAAGCTTAATAGCACATGATTTTTTTTTATCGCTGGGGACCAGCTCTCCAAGCCCGGGGGATATGTCAAGACTTAAATATAGGCCAACTTGTATTGATATATTATGTATTGTATGTATCATGATCACCAATCCAAACCAAAACAAGAAATAACTTTGGCAACAATGCTTACGCAGCTTACATCCTTAACAACAAATGGTGACAGACGGCTCCGGCGGCAAGTTTGAATCGAAAGAGTAAATCGATCAGGCAAATATTACAAAAGAGATCACCAACTCTATTTTTGATTTATGACTTAATAATGCTTCTCAATGATTAATTCTGACCTTTATATTAATAAAAAATGCATATAATCGTCATATTTTACAATAATTACACGCTTATACAACTTCACCATAATCTAAAAATGCACTTTTAATTTATTTATTTTTCAATAAATTGTGGTTCATCCGCAATTTTTTTTTGCTTAAAATTCTTATATAAGTGTATGCTTTCGACTGATATATAAATAAATGCCAAATTCGGAGGGTGTTATATCTGACAAGCACCGCAATTAACTTTGCTTCATGAACGATCTAATTATTTTATTGTAAATACTCAAAAGACAAAAGAAACGAATTAATTTTCAAGATTTTCTTTACAGTAAAGTGCGTTTTTGTTAGCACCGCCGATCGTTCACTAACGAACACCATAGTTTCAAAAAAGGTAAAATATGTTACTCTTGATAAGTAAAAAAGGATAAACTTATGCATATAATAAAAAGAGTGAAAGAGAAACAACTACATAGAAATATTTTGACACATTGGTTCGTTTCATCAGCGAGATCGACCATGCGCAATATAACATCAATGCTACACTGAGAAAACAGGCATTAGACAACTTGATAAATTAATTTAAGTAAAAAGAAAAAGTTTTTCTTTACATAGAACCAGACTAGAATTTACTTTAGAATTGAAAAGAAAAGCAAGATCTCAAAAAAGAGAGAATTGTAATACAAATTTTAGTATAAAATAATATCTTAACATTCAAATGACATTAAGCGATGGTGAAATACAAAAAGCGATAAAAATCTTTTCAGAAACTCAACAATCAAACCCCACCCAAGCTACAGTATGAAAATATAACTATTGAGAACCTTGAGTAGCCACTTGTCGCAATGAACCATATTTACCACTGTACAAGTCTAAAATGTAACCGTAAATAACACTAAGACTCTGGGTGTCACTTCTTTTATTCATGGTGTTAACTTGTGAATTTATGTGAACCATTTCAAGAAAAGTTCTTTTACAAAACGAGTCAGCTCTATCCAGAATCTCAGCAATGCTGATTCGTTTCTTTTGTCTTTTGAGTATTTACAATAAAATAATTAGATCGTTCATGAAGCAAAGTTAATTGCTATTTTATTTTAAGATTTTTGACATGCAATTTTCGTGCTTTGACTTTGTACTCACATACACGTTGTATTGTTTTTTTATAAAGTTTTTGTAGTTAGTTTTCACGTGTATTTTAAAAGTTGATTTTTACTACTGCATTTGAGAAATGAGGATTCTTTTGATTGTTGAGCAATGTTGTAAACTTTACCATAATCCCACTTTGGTGAGTTGCATTTTAATAGTTTTTTACAGAATAGAAATTGTATTTAATTACTATAATTGTAGAAGAGTCCTGAAGAAGAGAACAACTGAATTCTCGAAAGCTTGACTAAACAATAAAGGGTTTTTCCTTGAACTAACGGCCTTCTTATTAGACTGCATCCCCAAGACACCTGTTTGAATTATTTTCTCAACTAGTCAGTCGCGTAGACTACCCATCTTTATATATATATATATATATATATATATATATATATATATATATATATATATATATATATATATATATATATATATATATATATATATTTTTTCGATTATATATATATTTTTTCAAAAAAGTATATTGAGAGATTTCATTTTATAACAAAGTTGGAACAATATTTTCCCCACAATTTAGAGCAAATATATATTTTTGATTTTGATAAGAAGTTTTTACATTTAGTTAATCTTTGTTTTTGTGCTTACATTTTGAGATCATGTGTAGGTACTTTTGTAGAAGTTGTAGAAAGAAACACATTACATTAGTAACGCTGACAACCAGTTATATACTAATATCTCTCCAATATTAACAGAAGTTTTTTTATCACCATAAAAACTAAACATTACGGGGTTGAATTACCGTGTTGTTGTTAAGGCGCATTGGGATTTCATTATTGGAATTTTCATCTGGTTCATTGCGACTCGTACCCTCGAAACCCGGGTTCAGAATGATATTCGGAACCAGCTCAATAATTTCCTGTTCTTCTTCAACTAAAATAGGTAATTTACAAAATCAGCATTGCAAAAAAACCCATCGCGGACATTTAATCACTCAGTAGCGGTCAAGTTCAACATAACTAAAGTTTACAGAATACATTATATTCTGCAAATGGTTTAAGGAATGTGATATATGCTGTAAAAAGCGTAAGATTTGAGTACTATTTACAGAATATTTCTGTAAGCAGTTTACAGAATACACTGCATAATTTAAAACATCTTAGACAACAGGGCTGGTTTTAACACTCTGGGATATGCAGACGATCTGGTCGTGATAGTCAGAGGTAAGTTAACACAACAGTAAGGGAGTGATTGCAGAGGACCCTGAAGATTGTGGAATCATGGATGACACGGGAGGGAATAAATATTAGTCCTACAAAGACCGTAATAATCCCCTTCCCCAACCGAAGAATTTTGGACCTCTAAGACTCTGGGGTGAAGAGATTCCTCTCTCGGGGGAGGTCAGATATCTAGGAATCATGCTAGATACCAAACTGACCTGGAACCGACAGTTGGGAAATGTCACAAGGAGGACGGTGACTATACTAGCGATAGTCAGACGACTTCATGAAAAAATCTGGGGCCGCAGACCACAAATAGTGCACTGGCTGTACACTGGGGTAGTGAGGCCTTCAGTAACATATGCATCCTTGGTATGGTGGCCTAAGGTAAAACAAGCAACAATGCTCAGCGTCAGCAAGGTACAAAGACTTGCTTGTCTGAACATAACAGAGGCGATGAAATCAACGACCATTGCACCAATGGATGCGCTTCTGGACCTTCCGCCTCTTCACATAGTGATCCAGGCGGAGACAAGAAGAGACCTCTATCGGCAACAAAGTTTGTTGTCTCTGGGGAATAGGACAGAAACAGGACACTTAAAGATGGGAATTCTATCAGGGGACCTCTACTCCAAATGAGATCGGATCAAATGACCCGTCTTTATCACTACCACAAACTATTCGAGCTGAATAAAACGGATCGAGGAATGTGGACAGATACAATATTCCTTCAGGACAACCCTGTCAAAGACCGCTGAAGGAACAGGAGCTGGAGTATTTGGGAAAAAACTAAGGGCAAGCTTATCATTTTTCTTGGGTAAATACTCAACCGTATTCCAGACGGAAATCTTCGCCATTCTACAATGTGCGAGGGAGAACAACAGAAGAGCTTATTCACTTATTCAGGTAAGCTTATCAATATATGCACATACAGGCGGCACTTAGGGCGCTTCTGAGCCCATAGGTATCGTCGGACTCATCTGGGAATAACTGGAGGTGAACTGGGAGCTCTGGCACGAAGGAACAGAATTAAAATCCGATTGAGATAGCTAGGCAAGGATCATCGGTATCCTCGTACATCCTTGGTCCAGAGCCCGTACTGGGAATACCCAAATGTATGGCCCGTAGTGCACTAAAACTCTGGATCAGGGAAAAGCAGAATATCCACTTGAGAAATAGACAGGGGAACAGGCATAGCTAGGCCTTTATCCAAGGACCTAGCTCTAAAACCACAAAAGAACTACTAGTGCTTAGCAGGAATAGAGTGAGGATTACAACAGGTCTCTTGACAGGACATATGGCTGTCAAGAGTTATTTGAACAAGCTCAACCTGAATCAAAAAATTCTTTCTTGCAGACTCTGCGACAAAGATCATAAAACAACGGAGCACATAATATGTCACTGCGGGGCTCTGGATCGCAAGCGACACTTTTTATTTGGGAAAGCTTGGGGAACCGGAGGAACTATGCTCCCACCCTATCAAGGGCCTTGCATAGTTGGGGCAGGGTGCAGGGCTGATAAGAGAATGAGGGCAGATATAGAAAGTGGACAAACACAATAGATACAGGTCGCTGTGTTTCCGGCAGAGGACGGCCCCTTGTTATTGGAAAAAAAATGAAGGAAGTCTTTGTTGCAGAGTCTGCGATAAAGATCTTGAAACAGCGGAGCACATAATATGTCACTGCGAGTCTCTAGATTGCAAGCGACACTCTTTATTTGGGAAAGCTTGGGGAACCGGAGGAACTATGCTCTTACCCTATCAAGGACCTTGCATAAGTTGGGGCAGGGTTGATAGGAGAATGAGTGCAGATATAGAAAGAGGACAAACACAATAGTTATTGGAAAAAAACCAAGAAAGTCTTTGTTGCACAGTCTGCGATAAAGATCTTGAAACAGCGGAGCACATAATATGTCTCTAGAACCGGATGAACTGTGTTCCTGAAAGCTAGGCCAGAACTGGATGAACTATCAAGGACCTGCATAAGTTGGTGTACGGTACAGGGATAGGAGAATGGGTGGAGACATAGAAAGGGGACAAACACAATAGGCCTCACAGGTCGTAGTGTTTCCGGCAGAGGAGGGCCCCTTGTTATTGAAAAAAAGGCGCTTGGAAAACTAATATGTAAAGACTTGGCATATATTTTTTATTATTATTATTATAGAATTTTTTTGTCTCTATAGATGTTTGCAAAGAATATATGAATAACAACTTATTGCATGGAGTATACAAAGATAGATAACACAAGTAATTCATAAATCCGCCTTTATTTAAACAGTAACACCTGGTGACAGTTATTGTCTCTTATTTTTTTCTGTCATTTATCGGATTTCCTTTGTCGAAATCATGTATATTCTGTGTTATTTCTAGTTGAGTTAATTTCAATTAAGAAAAATATGTATTTCCAACTTACCAGTTGTAACCCTACATTCCTGGTAGAGTAGAGTGCAGGTGCCGATCCCGAGCAGTACCAGCGTGCCCATGACGATTCCAACGGCCACCGCCCACCATCTAGTGTCGAACTTGTCAGCCCCTTCTAACAAATGTCTGGCTAATTCTTTGTTGAAAAAGAGAGAGGAAATTGAGGGAAAACACCAAAAAGATGGAAGGAAAAGTAGGCAGGCGAGGCTCTAGGCGAAGTAAAAAGTTAATAGAAGCAAGAATATATATGAGTTGTTCGGTAGCATAGTTCTATTTCAATATAAAAACATCTTACACAGCAAAAATTACGTTTAATATAATTAAAATTTACAGAATATGTTATATTCTGCAAAAAGCTTTCATAATCATAAGATTCTCTAAGATTTGACAACTGTTTACAGAATTTATGTTCTAAGGAAGCAGTTTACAATAGTCTTTAAAAATATTACAGTAATTATCATGTTCTGTGAGCTTCAATAACCGTTTCAACTTACATAATAAGAGCACATTCTATAAACTTTAATAATTATTTACACAATATAATATACCTATCGGGTCATTGTAACAGCGTGGTCTGGATTTTAATGTGTAAGATAGTGATGTAGACAGCTAAATAAATAATCAAATGTATTAAAAAGAAATAAAAATTAGGTTCATACATTTCTTCTATGCGGTATTGCCGGATTTTGCATTAGAAATTCCAACCGCACAAGTAGACGTTTACAAAAAATGTTGCAGCTAGGGTTGGAACTTTATTTTTCACAACTAGTTAAGCTTGATTTTCATGCATCCGTTGTCCGACGATACGATACGATATTAAGTTTATTGGTTGAATTTAAAGACTTCGGTTGGTTAGAAACGGTTAACCAATCGAAGCCTTTAAATACAACCAATAAAATTAATATTGTATCAACGTATCGTCGGACAACGGATGCATGAAAATCAAGCTTTACTCATTTTACTACAGCTGTAATAGATTATATTTAGCTTAGATATACAGTATGTCCCCGGATTGTCTTTACAAGAAGAAAACTTTTTATTATTGACATTTTGAGTAAAATGCATTCGTCATAAAAAAAATCTAAAATGCTTAATCCCGTTTATACTTTTCCAAATTTCCCCGCATACCGTTTTAGAGAAAATTAAAAAAACCATGAAAATACCGTTGAATCTTTTCCTCCTAGTCTTACTAAGCAATCCTAAGTACTAAAAACCAAAAGACGTTGCTATGGTAATATCAATTCGATTTCATTCTTTGATAGACATATAGTTATTATTGGTTATCTTTTTGGTTATTATTAATATTGATTAATGTCATATTCAAAGGTCATATTCTTTGCTGTTGTTAAAGTATCATATTTTCCGATAACTATCATCACCCTTTCCCCAGCACTGAACTAAATAAATTTTGTGTTTCTTTAACAGTTAATTAAAATTTTATGAATAAAAATCTATCAAAGAATGAAAACTAAATTATATTACCATAGTAACGGATTTTGATTTTTAGGACTTCTTAGGAAAAAAATCAACCATATTTTTAAGTTTTTCTTAATTTTCCCCATTCATTACTTTTAGAACATAGTAATTTTCAGCAATCGTGTAATTTTTTTATTGATAAAGATTTTCACATACTGTCTACGAAGAAAATACAGCAGAAATATTAAGAAAGTTTTTGAAAAAACTACAATCAATTATTTCTAATAGATTTCGAGATATCGGTTTTTGAATTCAGAGTTCTAATAGCGCGACCACTGTCGAACACCAACTCAATTCCACTTATTTTTACCAAAAATTAAGTGTTTCTAGCTTGCGCTTAAACATTTTCAAGCTAAAAGGAAAATTACGACTCGTTAATAAATAAACAAATAAAGTATCACGAGACGTAATTAAATCGTGAAGCTGAACGCATGATGTACACCTTTCCCTAGAACTTTAAGTACTAACAGAGGTACTGACTGGGTCGACCGGTCAACTGCGACAGATCTGCTATATCCCCTTTCACGTCTCTTAGCAATGTGCACAGTTTCTCGGTTTATTTCATACGTTTGGCAACGTGTTTACTGTTCTCTCTTTGTTCGGTACATTATAAACGCATTGTACTCTTCTTACATACGAAAATCTCGACCCAAGAGTAACCTTTGCCAGCCCTTAGTATCCTTTAAACTGTTTAAAACTATTTCATTTTCATTAAACTATCTCTAGACAGAATATATTTTGTAACAAGCATACAAAATAATTATATTCTGTAAACTTTGACATAAATTTGCTGCCTTTTAAGTTATAAACTTAGTGTTGACTTAAAGTCTATCTAGCAAAAGAAAACAGTGGCAGTTTTTAATTATTTTAATTTTAAAGTAGATTGTTTTATCTGAAATTTTTTCAATTTAATCTGTCGAAATTATCTTGATAGACAGACTATAGTAAGCCAACCAAAATTTAATTTATAACAGAGTGGGCAGAAGTTGTTAAAAGATGGTATTATTTAAAAAAATCTGATTATAAAGTATTGTTTAGTATAATTTTCTATATTGAAATGTTACCAGGCAATAACACATAATTCATGCAAACACAGATGACAACATAAAATCATACAAATACTTAAGCAAGCTTATAATTGTGTTAGTTATATGTTTACCTTGTTCAGGATATTGCTTCTTTGTAGTACCAAATACATTTACGACAGGACTCTTGCCTAACTGATTAGTTGCCCAAATCCTGAACTCATAGGTTGTATTTGGTGTGAGATTGAACACTTCAACTTGTCGCTAAATATAAAAAAAAAGTTTTATATCTACTACCGTAACAAAAGATTGATGTACCGGCTTAGGATATATAGGAAATCCCATGTATATTGAATTCAGGAGAGAGATAGGTAATAATGATACTACTTAATAATGCATACTTGTTGGCAGCTATTTCTGCCATAGTATCATTTAATCGTGGTGACTTTCTATTTAATTGAGTATTTAATGATATAAAAAAATGGTTTAGACTTCAAAACTCCAAAATGTATCAATGTCAATGTCATACAGTTTAATAAATAAAGTTTTGAGTTGAGTGGCCGGAGTGTTTCATCATTGTACAAATTACCTTTTTAAGTACCTAATTTTGCAAATAACTGAAAAACGGCTTAGCGGAAGAGTATGGGAGTGGATTGGTAGCCTCATCTAATCCAGTACTTTAAAAAGTTGCGTTAAAAGTTTTTCTAAAATCGATAGGGAAGCCAGTAAAACACCCTTAAAATTTACATGGGATTTCCCATATATCTTGAGCTGATGCATAAACTGGTATATATTCTTTTAATGCTTTTAATCCAATAAAACTAGAATAATATGGATCTTCTGAGGGTCCTACCATCATATACAGGGTGGTCCGAACTGTATTCCGGAAACTTCGGCAGCATATTCTGCAGATAAAAATAAGTAAAGAAGTTTGTATAAATGTATGTCCTAAAATGCTTAGTTTCTGAGATACAGGGTTTAGAAGTTTCATTTTTATTTCGATTTTTTCCAAATAATTTCTGAAGTCAATATTTTGATGAAAATTGGTGTCTGGGAGTTTTTTGGCATGAGAAATTTGATTTTGATGTCCATATGACCACTATTTGTAGAGGGCGCCACCTACATAATTTTAACGAGTTTGAAGAGTAATAACTTTTCGTCCATACCTGTATAAAACGGCCAAGTAAAAAAATATACATTTACGACGTTTTTTACGTAAAAAATGTCTCTTGGTGAAAATCGCTATTGGTAGGTAGTAGTATTGATTCTCGAAATATTTGGAATCGAAATTATCAATACCTGTCATCACTGACATCAATTAAACATGATGACTAATAGTATATACATAAATTTGAAATGTTTTTGTGTCAAAAGTTTAACAGAAACTGTTTTATCATCATTTTTTCGAAAAAAAATTATGAATAAATTAAAAAAAAAAGTTCCCAAGTTTATCATTTCAGTTAAATAACTATCTACTCAACATTTTTTGTCAATAATGACACGTATTCACTATTTCCATTCTAAATATCTTGATAACGGTTGCTCGTAGCGATTTTTACCAAGAAATATTTTTTACATAAAAAATCACAGAAATGTATATTTTTTCATTCAGTAGTTTTATACAGGTACGGACGAAAAGTTATTACTTTTCAAAACAGTTAAAACACATGTAGGTGGCGCCTCCTACAAATAGGAGTCATATTGACATCAAAATCAAATTTCTCATGTCAAAAAACTCCCAGACACCAATTTTCATCCAAATATTGAAGCTACTTCAGAAATTATTTGGAAATAATCGAAATAAAAATGAAACTTCTACACCCTGTATTTCAGAAACTAAGCATTTTCGGACATACATTTATACAAACTTTTTTACTTATTTTTATCTGGAGAATATCCTGCGAAGTTTCCGGAATACAGTTCGGACCACCCTGTATATTTTTTATTTTTATAAAGCAGGTCTGGAAAGCATTAAGTATCTACATACTTAACTGATATTAAAACTTAAAAAGTTTGTAGAACTGAGCCACAATAAAGCAGGTTATTTCACCCCATTATGAACGTCCGGCATGACCACAATAGATCTGAGATGGTTGCAGTGGAATCAGGCCGGAAGCCACCTTTAGGAATCTAATCTAATGTCCGGCACGACGCGACGGGGCGCAGCACAGCACAGCACCGGTCAAAATAATTTATATAGATTTAGATACAACCCAACCCATTATGAACGCCCTGCACGGCGCGGCACAATCCAGCTCATATGAGTTGCGTTGTATCTAAATCTATACATATAAAGTGAATTTGACCGGTGCTGCACCGTGCCTGGCGTTCAATAAGTTATCTGCTTAAGCCCTCGTGGCCGCAATGAAAAGTCCCATCTGGGTTAGTAAATACAATTCAATAGAATTCAAATCCATAAACTATAGTGATAGTGCAATATGGTAGGTATACACGGTCCGGCAACAATGCGTCGGGCATCTGTAACCTGTAACTACTAGAATAAAAAACTTGGGAATTTTGTTTAAGTGCAAACCTAAATGTACTAGGATGTATTTCAGGAAAATATTTTAACTTCGATAGGGTGGCTTAAAAAAAAGTGAGTGGATCGGGAAATCGGGATGATGTTTTTTAAATGGAACACCCTGTATATTATTGCATTTTTGGTTTCCTTTCAGATCATTCTACATGATCCTAAGATATAAAGTAAATATATTTCTATAGTTTCAGAGATATTAATAAATAAATAAAAAATATATATTTTTCAGCCTTTCTTAAAAAAATATTAAAAATTATCATTCATCATTATAAACGTAAATTGTAATCAAAACCACAAAATTATTTTTCTCAGGTATTTTACCGTTGAAAGAGCCATATAAAATAATACTGCGTGTATCTGCGGAACCTTAAATAAAATCAATATATTAATGTCTTTAGAGCCGTAACACTAGATCCAACAACATCAAATAGAGCTATTAAAATGCTGTTAGTGGCGGCGTGCGGAGACGGTGCTAACTCTGTCTAGATAATAATGGGCAGCATTTTTGAACATTTAATGGAGTCTTTAGTATTTTTTTATATTAACTGAGAAGCCCGATTGAAGTAACCTGTTGAGTTTGTATTAAAATATGTTCTTTTGTTTCTGTCACACTTATTATTTATTTGCTTCGTATTGTTCCAATTTATTTAATTGCTAATACATGGATTAATTTGAAAGTAGATATTCGCTTGTTTCCTTTAATACTCGGCATGACCTACCAAGAGGAAAGTCGATATCTTTAAATAAATTGGAATTTTAAAGTTAATAGTGAAAATAAATATATAGTGTTATATATTTTCGAGAAGCCCATGCCAAACTGAATCAGAAAATTTAAAAATATACAGGGGGTTGTATTTAAAAAAACATAAGTATAGTTAATTTCTAAAAAAATATCTTTTTCGAAAAAAGTCTGACTACGCCACTGTATTCTACACAGAAAAGTGCCTTTAGAATGTTTAATTTATTTTTGCGTAGTTGCTGAAATAAACAAACTATTGAACATCTTTAAAAAGTACAAAATTTGAGAATCCCCCTGTAGCTTCGAAACCGATCAAGATAGCCACGATCCATTTGCGCCATTGTGATTTTTTCAAAAAAAGAACCCGAGACTGCAATATCAAAATTTGAATATTTCTCACGGTTTCCTAGATACTCTATAGAAACAACCAAAATGGTCCACCCTGTACATACTTTAGGTTTGCACTTTAACAAAATTCCCAAGTTTTTTTATTCTAGGAGCTACAGATGCCTGACACACTCTTGCTGGACTCTGTATAAAGTTTGTGCTATATACATAGAATTCAACAAAATATAATAAAAAAAATAGCACATAACACTGTCATAAAAGCAAAATAATAAACATTTGATTCTCTTGTTTAAACTCATTACCAATATTTTAAAGATCTACTTAGCAAATTTTAATATGGTGTACCTATCATTACATGAAATCATTACATTACAGTACCTATCATTACATTACAGTAAGATACATGCAGGGAAACAATAAAAAACTGAACTAAGAATCAAACAAAAATTGATTAAAAAGACATTTGACAAGATGCTCTCCATCATGCACAACTTACAGAGTTTGGAGTTATATGATTAGGAGAGATAGGAATCCAGCTCGAATTGTTATACGCTAGTCGATATTGAGCGGTAAAGTTTATGATAGGATAACCTCCTGTACCATTAACCTCCCACAAAATAAGAGCAATGATTGTACTGGGTTTTATAGATACAATTAAAGGTGAAGGTGGAGCTATAACAAAAAGTTCCTCCAATTCAGTTACCATAAGGAAGATATGTTAATACTAAATTTGCTGTATACTTAATTTATTGTTATGGCTATTGAAATATTTAGAATTAATATTACTTACTTCTAACAGTTAGATTGACCCTGGCTCTAATATCTGTAACATCGTTTTCTCTGCCGCAAGAATATACAGCGCTATCGTTTTTGTCAACTTCCTGGAGAAACAGGGATCCGTTGTTCAAGAGGTTCATCATGATATTTTGATCTGCCGTTCGACCTTCTCTCTCCCACATAATGTCTTTTGATTTGTGTAAAGGGCATTGTATTGTAATGTTTTTTCCTATATCTACAGACACTTTCTTAATAATAGCTCCTAAAATTATAATATCGTATTTTTCGTACTCTTCTATAACTAAAGTTCAAACCTTTAACAATTATTATAAAAAAAACGAAGCACAATACAGGTCCCAATGTATTATACATAATTCCATATTAGATTTCACCAATTTCATAAAATCATCGTTTTATTTTACCTTTTGTCCCCTATATATATATATATATTGTCAAATTTGACAATTCATTTCTCTGAAATCCTGAAAACACCCCTTTTTCAAAATATTGATTGGCAATATGAAAAAAGAAAAATAACCAAATGTATCAAGCGGTGACCTGGAAAATTCACTAAAATTATGTTGGATGACATGAGAATATTTTCTGGACAACGTTGCCAATAATTGACCTTACTTCTTATTTAATTCAAAACTAATTAAAAATATAATTATTATATATTGAAAAACTGCTACATCAATTTACCTAATAACGAACATGGTAACATTATTACTTGTTTCTTAAGATTATTTATAACAACAAAATTATTGATGTTAAATATTTCTGTAAGAAATTAGACAACACCGCCTCCCTACCCATTTTTAAACATATGTTTGGTGATGTTTAAAGAATTTCAATGATGTTTGGGGTTTCCTGCGCTTTAATTTTTAAAAGGAATTAAATATATTTGCTGAATGATCTTCTTATCTGTTTAGTGGTTAATGCGTTGTTTATTATCACCAGTTAATCTAAAGGTAAGTTTTAAATTAAATCAAACCATGGAAACATGATAAAATGTGTTGTTATTGTTAGGACAATAGGCAATTAACTATTTCTTTAGTTTAATAATACATTTTGATAATTGTTTATGGTCAGTGAAAGTAGAGTAATAATTAAAAGCAAATATTATTAACTTAATATATCCATAAGCAGATGAGTATAAGTTTCGAAAAGTATAATTAAAAATAAATATTTGAACTTTGGTTAATGGTGTTTATGATAATATGTAAATAGTAGTATTATCATTCAGCACAATATTTTAATTACTTAATCTCTTAGAAATACCATATTTTTTATTTGATGTATTTCCTCAATTTTGTATCTATAATTTAGATAAATACACATATTTAAACCAAGCAATATTGTTAATACAATTTTAATTGCCTATGGAATTCATAAATAAAAGTTATTCAAATATAATTTTGCCCTTGCTTTTATGTATATCTACGCTTTTATCTGCTCAACGGTTTAAATTCGGAAATGTATCCATCCCTATTTAATATTATCCCTTTCATAGTTAAATGTCAAAGGTCACGGTGTTGAATATAAACAAAGAGGACCGGGAATTCAGATACGTTTTCAATCCAAAAATAACCTTGTGACATTATAAGTTGTTCTGTCTATTGCATAGAGTTAAAAATTAAAAGTCTATTGCCTTTAATCTTTTTTTAATTAAAAAAATGCCCCGGAAGTAAATTGTTTTTTTTTAATGTTGAAATAGTGGGTAAGTACCAAGTAAGTACAGGAAATAATTTAGATTTGTGGGAATATTTTAGGTAATAACAGAGGTAATAATACTATTATAGTTTATTTTAAAATAAATTAGTTGTTAATTCACACAAATCCTTACCGATATTTATTTGGGTAATATATTAAAAATAAAATAATGATCTAAATAAAAATTACTAGAATGATTTTGTTCAATTGCCAATAAATTAGGAATATTTTTTAACGCTGATTTTTTTCTGACACCAGTCGGCATGGACCTAAGGTATGGACTATGGAAGTGGCGGAAGTGGCATTTTACAAAATATCATTTTTATTTTTTAAATTTCTGTTTTTCAATGTCAAAATACTCAATCTTCCAAAAAATGTTGTTATTTATTAAAAAAGTTTAATTTTACAAAAGTATAGAAATTTGCAGCCATCTAGGTTAATATTTTTTTCACGTTTTTTATGGTTGAATTTTTTTTTTCAAAAGTCCTTTCTATGGTAATATTATATAATTTTGATTAACGTCATATTTTGGTCATATTTTTTGATGTTGTTAAAGTATCAAATTTTCCGATAACTATTATCACTTTTTCCGTAGCATTGAACTAAATAAATTTTGTGCTTCTTTAACATTTTAAAATAGCAAAAAATACGACGTTAATTAAAATTATATCAATATAAAATCTATGAAAGAATGAAACCGAAATTCTATTACCATAGAAAAGCGTTTTGATTTTTAGGACTTCAAAATTCAACTATACTTTCATGTTTTTTTTTAATTTTCTCTTAAACGGTATGGAAATTAATAATAAAGGGGATTAACCATTTTAGAACAAACAAAATTTTTTAGGAAGAATGCATTTTTCACAAGAAGTTAATAATAAAAAAAATTTTCCACTTGCAACGACAATCTGGGGACATACTGAGGACATCTACATATATAAAATGCTAATGTTTATCCGTGTCGTCTCTACTGAAGTAACGACTTGCTCTAGAAAGTTGCTTTTTTTTACTAAAAGATAGCTAATTGGCTCTTCTGAAAACTGTCGTCGCCGGATTTTTTGTTTTTCATTTAATTAAAAAATAATAAAAATTATTTTGTTTTCCTGATGTCGCAGGTCGTGGCGAATGCGCCAAGCTTCAACTAGTCAAGAAATAAAATCCTACTATTAATTCAGCACAAATTTTATTATTTATTATCATCCTTAATTCAATTTAGTAAGTCTAAAAAGTGCTGAAAATTACATTTTCTTGTCTGTTTAGGACATAGTAAACATTCTTAAAATGGACCGCCGAGCCTGAATTAGAAGACCGAAAAATAAAAAAAAAATTCCTCTTGTAAAGACAAAACGGGGACATACTGTATAGCAACAGGGTTCTCACGATCTGTACTCGTGATAGAATTGCCTACGTGATACTTACATTTCAAATAAACTTAAAATTGGTAATAAACTACTATTTTTTTTTACCATTGATTTCTTTAAATGTCAAATTTAACCAATAACCGAGAGCAACAGCAACAGGTTATTATTTTTATGATATTGTTAATCCAATTGAGAGCAAAAATAATTCCAAAGTAAAATTTCACCTAAATCAATAAATAAACTAATCGCTAATTTAAAATAATCCGAAGAACCACCCTCTAAAGTATTCCAATCTATGGAACTAACCTTTCGTTAAAAAAGAGTTTATAGACTTGTCCTCGCCTAAATATATACCAATTAAAATATCATGCCACGCTGTGCACGTTATACACTCCACTTGAGGTATTAGGTTTTTTCCTCTTCCCTTTTGCCCTTCATTTCCTCTCCCCTTTCTTGTCCCATACATTGCCGGTATAATGATACCTGTTACGTTTTTGGGGGGAAGCGCTCTAGCTCGCTCAGGTGTTGGGGGGACTCCGGTGGAGTGGGGTAAGGAAAAGCCCGAAACCGCCGGGCGTATGGGCGATCAATAAGCGCCCCGCGTGGTTCTCGATTCGCAGGGCCGTATTGAGACAGGATTTATTTTATTAAAAGGATCACAAAAAAACCAAGCATTGATTTTTATATAATTTTTTGTGGTTTGATTGACAAAACGTTTTTATACAAGACACTAGTAACATCTTAGTCAAATTTGGATATCAGTAAAAAGCTACTAATAAGCTGGTCTTCCGTGGATTAGGTCCAACCCAATATTTTACAAATAGATAATGTTCACATTTTTTGTTTTATAATGTTTTGATAGAGGCATAATACCCAATTCTATTATAATAATGAACTAGTCACAAAGGTGTTTAGTTGAAAAAAGTCTGAAAATAATTAGTAATAAAATCATATGAGGATTATTTGAAACCCATTTAAAATCGACCTCAAAATCGAGAATTTCAAGCTAAACCAGATATCTACAAAATCAAATTGCATATACAGGGTGTTTCAAAAAACATGTGCCATCTCTCGCAGGGAGATTTCTCATGTAAAAATAAGATTTATTTTTCATATCAACATAGGTCCGATTCTGCTTTGTTTCGTATCTACAGGGTGTTAAAGTCTTAATATTTTTTCGATTTATTATAATTTTCTTCCATCTACTTTTAGCGTTTCGAATGAAATTTTGACAGTAAAGGTTACTATAAGTGCTACATATTTTAAAGCTAAAAAAGTGTCGACATATTCACCAGAGACGTGCATATGGGTTATTTCTGGAATATTTTTCTAAAAAAAACATGTACGCCACTAACTTTTTTTCTCTTGTTAGCGAAATAGTGTAAGCAGTTTAATGCTAAGAGACAACTTTTAATCAGCAATAATTTTGGCGATTTCAGCCTCCTTGATGAGATAAACTCAATTTTATTAATTTGCCTTGATCCAAGTCTAAAAACAAAACCTTTAAAAAAAGTTAATATCATTCACTTGCGAAAGTTTTAAATAAGTACTCATTGATTCCTCATCAAAAAATATGGAAAAAAGTTCCTATAAACATGGGTATGGAAATGCATAGTTTTAGAGTTACAGGATGTTAAAACTTTTTAAAATTAGTTTTTTTGTAATTATCTTAAATACCATTACTTTTTTATTTGAAACTGCTGTATGTTGGACTAATAGTAATAATATTTAATAATAAATTAGGTGAAATATATAATTTATTAATTTTATTTTTATTTTAATGTTATTCATTTTGATTAATAAAATTGCGTTTATCTCATCAAGGTGGCCGAATTGGACAAAATATCAAGAGATAACATTTAATTGGCATTAAACGGCCTACAGAATTTTGATATCAAAAGAAAAAAGTCAGTGGCGCACATGCTTTTTTTGAAAAAGATTCCATTTATAACCCATATGCACGTCCCTGATGAATTTATCGACACTTTTTTTAGCATTAAAATATGTAGCACTTATAGTAAGTTTTACCCTCAAAATTTCATTTAAATCACTAAAGGTACTTGGAAGAAAATTATAATAAATCGAAAGATTATTAAAACTTTAACACCCTGTAGATACGAAACAAAGCAGAATCGGACCTATGTTGATATGAAAAATAAATCTTATTTCTACATGAGGAATCTCCCCACGAGAGATGGCACATGTTTTTTGAAATCCTGTATATTTCTTATGAACAAAAATGGAAGAGAGAATAATTTTTTTTTAATAGTACCTATTCATAGATGGTATTTTTGATATTTTGTACATACTCGTACGTATTGATCTATTTTCGTCTTTATGCCACAACCACCCCAAATTGTGGAAACCCTGCGGCTTGGGACTAGGGTTGCCACCTCTCCTTTTTTTTTGGAACAAATTGTCCTTTTGACTTTGTTTGCCCTAAAATGCCCTTTTTATTTACGTATTTTTCCTGAGAACATTATCTACAGCAACCAGTAATATTTCTTTCGTCCAAATTTAATTAAACATACTATAAAACTTATTAATAAATGTTTTTTGGTTGGTTACCAACAAAAGTACGAAAAACACAATAGGCCTTACAGGTCCGACAAAGGACGGCTCCTTGTTATGGAAACAAAACAAAAGTACGAAAGTATATTATTAAACTGACATAAAGTGTATAACTTTTAAATATTTTTGTACTATCTGCAACGAACGTTTGAAATTATTTAAAAAAAATTATGTGATGTTTGAAACAAAATAGCATGTTCTATTCGGGGTAAAAATGATTTGTGCTTCGCCTGTAATGTCGTCAAACCCCTATACAGCCTCCAATGACTTAAGAATATAAGGACATGTAACGCCCCTATACGGGCTGCAGCAGAATTTGTGACCTT